ATGCAGCTATTCTCCAGACGTGCCACATTGTGAGAAAATTTTTAAGCATTTGATAGGTTAAGTTGAATTTCTTCCCTGTTAAATGCAAAAACCGTTAGCTACCTTCTCATGTTGAGAAGTGTCTCAAAATTTAAAATAATAATAACTATGGGCCCACGCCTATTCCAGCCACTGGAAAAGAGAGCAATCCGGGTCGAACTAACCAGACCGAATACCGGGACTCATCCCTATTCGCAAGTCTTGTCCGCTCTACTCACAAAGCGCCCAGGTGGTAAACTCATACCCTCATACCTTAGTAACCACCACGCGCCTTTTCCAGCTATCATACTAACGTTTACCTTGAAAAAGAGAGTACCGGGTAGAACTAACCCTACTCCTTTTTCCTATCCTAATACACGTTCGAATCTACCATAACCAAATTCATAGCTTGCCAAACCTAGCTATTCCACAGTACTTGTTCTTTGACCGTGCATGCCATCCTAGGATGTTTCTAATTTCATATCAACCAATCGTCAGTTGCTTAGAAATTCAAATGAACCTGTCTACCTTGGAGATTGATTGGATCCTATTAGCCATGTCGAAGTGATCCTTAGCAGATCCTTAGTAGATCTAACGCTGAATATAGTTCGCCAATTTTTCTTTTTTTTTCCGCTTGATATTTCGTATAATTCGCTACTAATTTACGCCGAAACTTGCTAACGTCGATCATTTACGCCCGGAGGGATAAACGCAACTTGTCCAGATACGCTCATTTTGCTCCTAGTGCTTAGATTCCACACAATCCAAACTGAATGTTTGAAACATTTTCAACCTAGATATCGTCATGCAAGTCGTTAAACATGCTAGAGATTATGCCTCTCCACCCACGTGGAGAGGCATAATTCCACGTGGATGTCAAACAGTATTCAGGTAGTGAATGGCTAGTTCATATTGAAAGTATTCGTTTTTTTAGGTGAAAGGGTATCCCTAAATGATTACTTTATTCGGGGTTGTAAAACTCATATATTAACGTCGCATAAAGATTTAAGTACATACCTAGGTAGCTTAGTTTATGTATTTTAAATTAAAATAATATAGTACCGCTTTATTTATTTTTGTTTACGCATAATATGAAAAGTGTATGCATTTTATATAAGATTAAGATAATCGGATTTGCTAGTTGTATATTAACCATTAGACATTTTTGTTAACAACTATTTAAACATGTTTTTACCGAAACAATATTTTATTTCCGAGAATATTTATTTTATGTCGTGCTTTAGTAGTTTGTTTGCAAAATATCTACAGCGTGTTGTGAAATCTACTATATAATAGTACTCTCGCGCCTAGAATTTTACCCATCTGGACATGTACATGTATTTCTAAAAGAAATTACACTTTTATTAAAAAGTAGCCCTGTGTACTTTAATAAGCGCTTCGTTCTCATCTTCTGCAAAATTTTACACAACTTTTTTAACATTCACAATGTGTCAATATATTACAACACTACTCGAAGGGTTATTTGCTATTAAATATGGCGTATACGAAGAATAAATTTCTTGAAATACTAGTGAAATACTGAATTAAACTGAAAAACTCTGAAATATAATGAGGTGGTTAAAATTATATTATAATAATTGAAAAACTAATGTAATACTTATAAATTATGTGAATTTTTGATATAATTCTCAAGTGAATTTGCAAAACCTGAAGTTCGAAACCTATTTAACTTTTCTACCACCATGTATTTATTCAACTACATAAATAGGTACAAAGCAAAATAACTTTCTTAAAGACTACGTTAAAAACAGCATCTTAAAATGAATTTTCAAATATTAGATCGAAACTGCGTGTATACTAGAAGGATTATGAGGTGTCTATAATAAATTAATATTATGCCTTAATAAACGTTTGATTTCGTAAATGTTCAACTTAAATTTTACATATCTACTATTTCTCTCTTGTATTCACCAAAGATAATTACCAAGTACATTCATGTCTCATGTTTCATGTAATACCTAGTATAAATATTACTGATATAGCAATACTAGACTACCTAAAGTTGAAAGTTTCAGTAAAATGCAAGAAAAATTAAAAATATAGCTGAAATATTAATAACATCTATAACTAAACTTAAAGTAATAAAATAAGTAATAAGTAAAATGGGGTATAATTAAAAAAATGTATATATGAAAAATATAAATTATACATTTATGAAACAATCTATAGAGGTACCTCTGAAAAACTGAAAAACTTTTGAAGACTTTTTTTTACCTTTCCACATAAAATGCCTTGAATATACCTGTATACACCTGATATATTTTTTATTACATAATAAACAATGAAGTTATTAAATTACTGTTCGACTTTTGTTTAATATTTTTAATTAAAAAGCGCAACAAAATATTTCAACACACAAAAAATAAAAATCATGTTTGAAAACCACCGTTCCCTTTCGGCTTGCCGGGCTTGATCAAGAAGTTTAATGAGAATAAAATAACACATATTCAACATAACTAATATACTAAATATAAATAACACATAACTCTAGAAATTTTATTTCTCAGGAGGACAATAGATAGATATTTATTTAACTTTTAATTTTAACTTTAATTTTTACTTTTTACGTGAAAAACTGTCTGTTTGTGCTTCAAGCGAAATCGACCCTTATCAACCGACTACGGTAGCGCCCTCTCTTCGAGACCTCTTGAACCACGAGGCGATTCATATCACCGAAATCGAAATCGAAAAATCCGAACAATTATTTTAAACTCAAATCAGATCAAATCTGTCTCCATGGCAACAATTTTTACTGTATAAAAATACTACCTTAGAATTTATCTCGTAATTACCTTAGAATTTATCTCGATTTTTTTTTCTAGCCATTTTTAAAATACCTTTTAGAAGAGATTTGTTCAGATAATGTTTTGGCTCACTACCTTTTCCTGTTATCTTCCGGAGTCTATAACTTTCAGGGGTGATATGACGCTTCTTTCCAGCACTCCATTTTTTCCGCTAATATCTTCGAGCATTAGAGCCAGCAGAATGATCCCTCCGGTTTTCTTTTCGCGCTTCGCCGATCCGACGACGGTATCCGAAATCCGACGCCGACGGGTACCCGTATCTGAGACCGAATAGATCCTCGAAATCGACGCGACGCGACGCCTTTACGAAACGATAGTCTCAAAGGTCAAAGTCAAGTCAATAGTCGTCAGTAAGTCAGAAATACGCCTGTACGGCCTAAGAACGCTGGATTAAACTCATCGCCACTTCTGATGTAATCGGGATATTATTTAACAGAAATTGATATTTAAAATGTAATTCTAACTAACTTGACAAACAATAGCTTTGTTCGGGTTTTTCTTATTACCGATTCTGAACCGTCCTAGAACTGTGATACGCATGCGCAGAAGGAAATATGGATAAATTATTTCATTTGCGCATGCGCTGCAGAGTTCTAGGACGGTTCAGAATCGGTAATGATAAGAACCCGAACAAAGCTAATGTCTTCTCTGGGCCGAAATCAACAATCTCCGACATTCAACTGTTTCCAAAGCCTACTACTCCGCTACTCGCAAACATCAGCGGACACGGGGTGCAGTCACGGCGTGAAAATGACTGCCTATCATAAGGATCATAGGCGTCGATAACATATGCCATTTAAATGTAATATATTACTTTACAATTAAAAAAAATACAGGCATTAATAGACCTTTTCCGTTAACCGGATTTTCAGCGGTCATAATCATGTCATAATATTTTATGGTCATAATGCTCGGACAGATTTGGCGCCGTTCAAATCTGGTTATAAACTGAGTTTTTTTATAGGCTAGGGATAAAAAGAAATGTATCTAAAGAAATGACGGAGCACGGATGTCGTAACCAGGGTTCTTCAAAAACTACGTCTTTTCCCGTTCATTAACTACATAAAAACTACATTAATAAACTATGTATTGATATTATGAATAATTTTCCTTTGTATGAGGTGTAATAGAGATAATATGATGTAAATATTATATTTAAAGCCATATTTCTTCTGTTTTCTTAAATACATTATGTGTTTTTAAAGCTTCAACTTATTATAACCTCACCTTTGACCTCACCTCAAACCTTTGATATTTGAAAGTTACATACATAGGTTACATAAACTACACCCTCTACATAAATTACATAACTACATGTAATGTAGTTTATGTAGTTTTTAAAAGTAACATGTAGTTTTCCGAACCCTGCTTTAAATGCTCATAGCCAGGGTTCGGAAGTAGTTGACTAAGACGTAATTTACCTTATTAACTACGTGTAGTTTTTCCTCAAAAACTACGTCTTTTCCCAGCTTTTTAAAGCCATATTTCTTCTGTTTTCTTAAATACATTATGTGTTTTTAATGCTTCAACTTATTATAACCTCACCTCAAACCTCTGACATTTGAAAGTTACATACATAGGTTACATAAACTACACCCTCTACACTTAACTACATGTAATGTAGTTTATGTAGTTTTTAAAAGTAACATGTAGTTTTCCGAACCCTGCTCATAGCGTCTCCCTGTATATAACCTCATTGTATACGACCAGGGTTCGGAAGTAGTTAATTAAGACGTAATTTACCTGATTAACTACGTGTAGTTTTTCTTCAAAAACTACGTCTTTTCCCGTTCATTAACTACATGAAAACTACGTTAATAAACTATGTATTAATATTATGAATAATTTTGCTTTGTATGAGGGGTTTAAATAATATGATGTGTGAATATTATATTTAAAGCCATATTTCTTCTGTTTTTTTAAATACATTGTGTTTTCTAAAGCTTCAACTTATCATAATCTCACCTCAAACCTTTGATATTTGAAAGTTACATACATAAGTTACATAAACTACACCCTCTACATAAACTACATTAACTACATGTAATGTAGTTTATGTAGTTTTTAAAAGTAACATGTAGTTTTCCGAACCCTTTATTCGACCAAATTACGACCCATCCCTATATCCAGAGATTAATTATTTGCTGATAAATGTAATTTTTGACACTTGACCACATCAGTAGCTAACTTCATATCATTTAGTAAACCAAAACAGGATGGAAGACATGGCGGAGGATTTAACAAATTCACCTGATAATAAACAATCATTTTTAAAACATGGAAATAAGCAATGGATAAAATTAAATGTAGGCGGAACATATTTTTTAACTACAAAAACCACATTGGCGAGAGATCCAAATTCTTTTTTATATAGATTAGTTCAAGAGGATAGTGATTTAGAATCCGATAAAGTGAGTCTCTTAAAACAAAGATATTTTATATGAATATCTGATATTAGTAATTTTTTTGTTTGATTATTTAGTTATTAAAGCTAATTTGTGTTTAAAGTTTGGGTATAGATTCTAATGAACACCCTAACATTGTTTTTATACCTAGTTTTATTGATAATTATTGGTACTTATAAAAAAATAGTATTGATGTAATTCGATAAGTATTTTTCATAGATATATAAGATTTAACATACTTTGATTATAACACTTAGATCTTTATACTTGTTTTTAATATGTAACTTAATAAAATAATTTTAACTTTAATGATAAATCGTTGGCTTATAATCATATTACATAGTTCTGTTGTATGTAACATTATTATTGAATATTACATACAACCATGTAATTCTAAGCCAACAAAATGTAGTTTAATGATTAGCAATAAATTTTAACTTTGATATTTTTTTAGGATGACACGGGTGCCTACTTAATTGACAGGGATCCAAATTATTTTTCGCCAATTTTGAATTATTTGAGACATGGTAAATTAGTAATAAATAAAGGTCTTGCTGAAGAAGGAGTTTTAGAAGAAGCTGAATTTTATAATATAGCAGAATTAATAAATTTAGTGAAAGAAAAAATAGGTCAGAGAGATAATATATTTAGTAAGAATGGGAAAAAACATGTATATAGAGTTTTGCAATGCCATGAAGATGAACTTACTCAGGTATTAATTCAGTATTAGTAGTGGTATTGTTAAGATTGGGCTGGTCAATCAAATACAAAGAATTATATCTTCAACAAACTTTTTAATTATGACAATATAGTGACAATAACTGTTACTATTTATATTCTAAATAAAATTATGGTAATTATTGAAAAACTGGAAATTGTCTGATTTTCACCAAAATTGGTACACGCCCTATTTTGAGGTCATAGATTATGAATCTGCACTTTTTTCCTGGCGATCTCTTACAGGTTTTCAGAAAACCGGAAAATAATTTCAACATTGAATTTTCAGAAATTTATAAGAGAACAGTTTTGAGTAATAATGTAAAATGAAAGTGGATACTCATATAATTACTCTAATAATATAATTTATTTACATCATTAATGTCACATATAATCAATTTACAACGGAACAGTTTTATTGACATCCCCCAACACGCATTTTCATATTTTTGGAGAGTATCCTTCATTACCCTAACTTGTTCCCGTAGCTCTTCATTTTGCTTCTCTAACATTTTAATGTTATCTTTAAACTGATCAAGTCCATTTGACCTAAAAAGACCTTTTTTTTTTCATTAAAACTGCTTTAAATATACAAAGTTACACTTACTCAGGATTATTAATTCTGGTGGGGGTTTTCACAGTAAGACTAATCTCTATAGTTTTGGTTAATTTAGCCATCATGGCTCTATGACTAGATACTTGGTTTTCTTTGTTAGTTCAAGATTGCAAATAAGGTTCTTCATATGAAGTTGAAGGTTGAGTCTCAAATGACTCCTTTAATATTTCCGTAACTTACTGTGTTATGTTGCCTTCTTTTAGCAATTTGACCAGATCTTGCAGTAGTCTTAGGTTTACGAGATGAAGATTAAATTGTTGAATATAATCAGATTAAATCAATTAAAAAAACAGAGTCGGACTTGAAATTATTTTAAATAATAATTAAATAGTTTTGTTATTGTTAAGATACCCAAAACAAAAAAAAACTATTTTAAATGTGGCATATCATTGTACTCAGGAGACCGAGTTCTTTCAAAACCCGAAATAAAAAATGCAGGTCCGTATTTAAAAAAATTAAATTGGCCTCTGTATCTCACAAATTATCAGCTAATTTGAAAATCTAAAAATACTATCAGATAGCCCTAATAAAGTGGCTATGAGAATATGTAATTAGTTTTTGATTTTATGTGTTCCCCTCGTTACTTTTTGATTTTCTAAAAAAATATAGAGGGGAACAAATAAAATTGATTTTCAAAAAAATCCTTTTTTTTTTAAAAAAAAACTCAGCAATCCTTGATGGCATCTTGGTAAACATCCCGAGGAGCAACTTTACCCTAATTTAATCATCTTCGTATCTATTATACGGCTTTCCGAGATATCATTGGTACACCTCGAATTTGTAGCCTTTTAACTTAAATAGTTACACTTGCCGTCTTTTTACTTAAAAATAGTGACGTTGTCACTTGCCGCTTTTTTAAAATTTCAAAAATCGTAGGTAAAAATTTCTTTTTCAAAAGTCTTTTTCAAAAATATTATATTATCATTAAATTAGGTTGGGGTATTAGGTGGATGAGGATCACATTAGTCTAAAAATTTTCAGATGGTGTCTACTATGTCAGACGGTTGGAAGTTTGAACAACTTGTAAATATAGGATCACAGTACAATTATGGTCAAGATGAACATGCAGAATTTTTATGTGTTGTTAGCCGAGAACTTGGTATTCCAGAAAGTACAGAAATTAGAGGTGAGCGAGAGGATAGAGCAAAAGTTTTACAACAAAAGGGCTCTAGAATGTAGATTCTATGTGATAACTATTATTCTTTTTTTTGTCAATTCTAAATTGAATAAGATATATTTCAATTAATTACTGGTCTTCTCAACTGTGATTTAATAAATTTAATTTTCTAATTTTCAATAATGAAAATATGCTAAATCATAAGTTGTCTATTGCTAAAATAATCAAATTATCTGAAGTATAACTTATTCATACTATTTGTTAAAACTTCAGCAAAGCATCATATTTTATATTCTCTAAGTGTGAGTATTAAATAATAATATTCCAATACTCAGTATTCAGTACTATTTATAATTTGATATTTCTATTGTTTTTTGTTGTCTATTAACTAAACATACTCACACCTACTCATTTTTCTTCGTTTTGTTAGTGAAATTAAATAAATATAAAGGATTATTTTATCACTATAAAAGGAATAATGTTTTAACATCATACTTATTAAATGTGCTCTGAACACTAACAAAATACAGGGTTTTTAATCTGATAATAAAATGCATTTCAATTAATTTTTCAGAAATACTTATAATAATTTTATTTTCTATTCAGATTTTTGAACCTATAATTAAATGTTTATAAAATTACTTTGTAAAGCATAAAGCAGTCACAATATCATATATAATTTTTACCCTTCAGATAACTTTAAGTTACTTATTTCGTGGAATCAATTATGAGTCTGTTTTATGTGTAGGTATATATTAGAGACTCAAAATAAAATATCCTTTGTATATACCGATTTTAGGTTATTATATTAATATTATGAATATTGTGTCAATGAATTATAATAATATAGATTATAGAATTATGTGGTCACAGGTAATAAGTAGTTAAGACAAAAAATTATCAAAATAAAGAGTCAACTATCTTAGTATTTTAATTTATTTTTTCACACAAAGAAAATTTGAACTAACTACATACTCTCAAGATAGGTTCAAACAGCAAAATAAAATAAAATTGAAATAAAACGACCAATAAGGCACTTATTTCCAACGAAAAAAATTAAATATGAAATATTATAACCCCCCCCCCCCCCTCGGCGTCACTTGGCTTGGATATTATAGTTGAAGACATTAGTCATATAATTTTATAAAATAACTATTCTTCTTTTTCCGACAAAAACCGGCGTCAGCTATGGCTATGAAATAAAGGTCGCTATCATTTTCTATGAAAAATTATATGGTAAATGTCATTGATGTTCATTTTCAAGCCAACTGGACGCCTTTTTTTCGGCCATACGGTAATATTTACTCGTGTGCAGAACACTGAAGTTGCATAAAAATTCAGTGTAATGATTTTAGTAGTTTTACTATTTACAGTCTATTATTATTTTACAGTATTAGTTATTCCAGCTCATAATATACAGGTTGGTCCGAACTCTATTCCGGAAATTTCGGCAGCATATTCTGCAGTTAAAAATAATTAAAAAAGTTTGTATAAATAATGTATGTCCTAAAATGCTTAGTTTCGGCGATACAGGGTGTAGAAGTTTCATTTTTATTTCCATTTTTTCCAAATAATTTCTGAAATACCATAAATATTTGGATGAAAATTAGTGTCTGGGAGTTTTTTGACATGATAAATTTTGACAATATGACTCCTAATTGTAGAAGGCTACATATTTTTTGTCTGGTTTGAAGATTAATGACTTCTCGTACCTGTATAAAACTACTGAATTATCAATATCTGTCGTCATTGATATAAATAATTAAACATGTTGACCAAATAGTTATTAGATTGAAATCATAAATTTGAAATGTTTTTGTGCCAAAAGTTTAACAGAAACTGTTTTATCATCATTTTTTCGAAGAAAAAATTATGATTACTTAAAAAAAAGTTCTCAAATTTATATAATTTCATTCAAATAACTTTCCACTCGACATGTTTATTTTTTGTCAATAATGACATGTATTGACTATTTCCATTCTAAATATCTTCAGAACGGTTGCTTGTAGCGATTTTTACCGAGAGATATTTTTTACGGGAAAAATCACCGAAATGCTTTTTTCACCCAGTAGTGTTATACCGGTACGGACGAAAAATGATTACTCTTCAAAACAGTTTAAACATATGTAGGTGGCGCCCCCTACAAGTAGGAGTCATATTGATATCAAAATCAAATTTCTCATGTCAAAAAACTCCCAGACGGCAATTCTCATCTAAATATTGACGTTACTTCAGAAATTATATGAAAAAAATCAAAATATAAATGAAACTTCTACAACATTTATAAGAACTTTTTTACTTATTTTTATCTGCAGAATATGCTGCCGAAGTTTCCGGAATACAGTTCGGACAACCCTGTATTATAAATTTATATTAAACAGGGGTTGTTCACACTATTTGACATGGAGTATTGTAGATTACAGTTGAGGGTTGGAACCTTTGGTGTTACACAGCAAAATAAAAACACTAAATCACCACAATACACCAAAACACTTTTACTTTTACACTGGACGCGCGTTTCGCTAACCATGTTAGCATCATCAGCAGATGATTATATGATAAGTAGTAGTAGTATCAGCAGATGATTATAAACTAAAGTTTATAACTAACTATATGATTATAAACTAAAGTTTCTAATCATCTGCTGATGATGCTAACATGGTTAGCGAAACGCGCGTCCAGTGTAAAAGTAAAAGTGTTTTGGTGTATTGTGGTGATTTAGTGAATTAGTGTTTTTAGAAATTATTTATGTTTTTTAATTATTTATTATTAGTGTTTTTAGAAATTATGAGTGATGGGGTCTTTGAAGGACTACTAGAGCTACATTTTTCAAAATGACTTTCAAAATGTACACTGTCCGAAATAAAAAAAAGGCAAAGTTGTATTTTTTAAATAAAACATCTTGTAGATTATTACATTTTTAGTTTCTATGATTTTTTATTTATTTGGGACACTGTACTTTTTGAATATTGTTACGGATTCCGTGGGTCCACTAATTATTTAAACTCACGATAAAATATTTAACGAATTTATTTTTCTTCTAAATTTACTATTTACTTTTTAATTTATTTTTTATAAATTTAATTTTTTTTTGATGAATTTATTTTTCTTCTAAATTTACTATTTATTTTTAATTTATATTAATTAAACACACAACTAACTATTTATAAAATTCCGTCCACAATTTCCAAACGCGGTATATTCAAACTTCAAACTGTCCAACCGCCCAAGCGCGGGCCTTTATATACCCCTACTGACTGTTTCTCGAACCTTCTGTAATCTTCGATACTTTTCTGCCATCTACCAGTAAATTCTATTGCTTGATTCGCGTACTTGTCGACTTGATTAAGAGATGGCGCCTCCTCAAAATGTCTTCAGATTTCCCAAATACGTTTAAAATAAAGTATACGGAGGGTACCGCTTAAATTTCTGTCCCGATATTGAAGGATGGCTATAGAATTTCAATGCATTTCCTACATAAGTCTATCCTTGGTTTGTAGGAGGTTTGACTAAATAAGGATGAACCTATGTCTTGAAACCATTCGACTCGATTTTCTGTCCTCCTTCAATACTGGGACGTAAATCCTCTCATTGCTCTTATGGGGAGGCCGTCGTATATTTTATTTAAACGTATTTGAGATTTCCTGACAATGTAGACAACCAGCAATGCTGTTTTAGTTACTCGCTTCTCCGACAGATGGCGCCACACACACCTTGACAATGATTTTTAAATTATTTTATCACCCACAATTTCTAGAAATCTAATCATTTGGCTATACTACAATTATTCTCCGTGTCGAATAGCGTGAATAAGGCGCCGGGCGGACTATTAGTAGGACTATTTGTTAGTAAGAAACATAGTCAAAACTGTTGGCAGTTTTTGTTTATATTTTTTTTGTTTTATGATGTTGCATTACAACGAACATTTTTATATGATTTTATTTTATCTCGCTGTTTAAAGTCATTATTTAAGAGGTTATATGAGAAAAAATATTAAATAACATGAAGATAATGTTTATCATTTTCTATGAATAATGATATGTTATTAAAAAAATATCAGAAATTACAGAATTTGTCGTTGAAAGAGAACCGCAACTATTACTGATCTATTTTAACTGTAATCACCAATCGTGTACTAAAGACTTATAAACAGCTATGTAATAGTTTGTTATATCTATGACAATTATTTTTTAACAGTTAAGATCGAACAAAAGTTAGTGCTCGTTTTGTACTGTTAACATTACGGATTTTAAGATTAATATTAACCATTTATCTCCTGTCACCATATAATTACTGTTAGATGTAGATCCCCACTCAGTTGTTATTTCGGAAATTTTACTCATATGCTGATGACTTTACTCATTCTATCTGTACAAACACAGCACAGTAGTATGTTTAAGAAAAATCATTTTTTTACCTGTGAGAAATAACTATTTATGTGTTAGCTTTATTTATAATAAAATACATTTTGTAAACACACTTTAAGGATAGATTTAATAAGTTCATTATAAGCAAGTTTTTTTAAAAGCTATCAAATAAAGATAATAGTAATATGTATCGGCTTCTTTATTAAACTAATTTCTATACCTATAATAGAATAAAAACTTAAATTAATAGAGAAACGTAAAATTTGTGAAAAGTAATTTACACTGGGAAACGCCTACTTTAATTGATTGGCATAAACTATATTTAGAAGTTTAAAGATTTGGCACAACAAATGTAGTTGCTGGGAGCAGTTCAAATGAAATGTTTTCCTTTGATGGTATACAGAGTGGTCCGAACTGTAGTCCGGAAACTTTGGCAGCATATTCTGCAGATAAAAATTAGTAAAAAAGTTCGTATAAATGTATGGATTTTATAATAAGAGCTGAAACTTTCACATAGGGATCGGCAAGACAAGAAATCTTGTCTTGGCAAGCAATTTCTTGTCTTGTCTTGAAATATTTTCAAGAATTAAAATAAAATCTTGTCTTGACCATTTCTTGAGAGTTGATTTCTTGTCTTGATTCAAGAGATCTTGAAATTTCTTGATATCTTGACAAAAGGGGAACCCCCGTTTAAAATTCGTTTATTAAAGGGGAACCCCCTGTTTAAAAGTCGCGGTGAGATTGGTTAATGTGATGTTTATGCTTTATGCGTAAAATCGAGGGTCAGGTATCTAATTTTCAAAAAATTCAAAAACTTTGGGCTCATTATACTACAGTAGCCAAAATCATCAGATTTACATAATTTTGTTAATTATTATTATTATCTATTATTAAAATGAGTGATTGCGATGGTTCGTTGAGCAGCAAATCTGAGCCGTTCGTAATTGAATCTAGTTCAGAATACCTACCACCTCAGACACCTGGACGTAGAAGTTTAATTAGTGATTTTGACAGTAGTGACGGTGATAATACTACTACAGATAAAAACAGTCAAAACAACAATGATAAAAGCCTTAGATTAACAATAAATAAAAGCTACTCTACTTCAGTGGCGTACATTAAAATGTATTATTTTTTTATTTTAAAAATTTTACGTTAATTCAAAAAGTCTGTATGGTACTGAAGTAGACCCGCTTTGCAAAGTTTTCTTCTATTCTAATATCGTAGGCCATAACATATCGAAAAAATTATAAAAAAAATATTTAAAAATTAAAAAATTATTAGGCATTAAAAAAGGTTTCAATTTAATTTGGCCCACAGTATGCCAACTTTGGACATTCGATTTTGGACGTACTTATGTCAACTTTGGACATTGGGCATCCGAAAAAGTGCCGCTTCGTACAAATATTTTTTGCTTAATAATTTTTGTATCCATCAATTAATGGATATTGATATAATATACCAAATTACAATATTTACAAATACCTAAGTAAATGACTATTTCTTTTTTATTTTATATTTTCAAGAAATTTCAAGATTTTCTTGATTTCTTGTCAAGAAATCTTGATCTTGAGAAGTAATTTCTTGTCTTGTCTTAAAAACCAAATATCATTTCTTGTCTTAATCTTGTCTTGAAATCAAGACAAGATCAAGAAGTTGTCAAAAAAATGACGACCCCTACTTTCACAGTATTTTTTTTCGTCATTTTCAACAACATTTTCGATATATTTAAGAAAAAAAATTGTCGATTTTTTTGAAACTGTCTACCTAATTAAAAATTAAAAGCAATATAATTAGAACCATTTATTTAAACTATAAGTTTTATTGTTTAGCTAAGCTTTGATTTTAAAAATTATGAAAGATATAATTAATATTAATATGGATATATAAATTTATACACACAAACAGACATAAAGAGTTCATTAATGTTTACTAATATCTAGACTAGGATGTTGCCACTTGCTTCAAAGGACCTTCAAGGTAAGTGGCCAAAGCCTGAGCCTTTTGCTTCAGCATTCCAAATCCGACTGTATTTTTAGCATATAGGCATAATAAAACATTGGATACTTGTGTGATAGCTATTCGTCCCTCTTGAAATTCCATTAGTATAATTTCGGGTTGGTCTTCTCGTAGAGCATTTTCACCTAGAATTAACAATTCATATATGAAATGCTACCAAGAGAATATGAAGTTCGGAAAGGTTTATAGAAACTTCACCAACATAATCAAGTTGATTCAATACAGAGAGATTCATGGTCGATAATGAGATTTTATTATATTTTTAATACATATTTACATTTTTGAAAAATAATTTCACTTAAGAAAAATTATTAAAAGTAATAATAAAATCAATAAATAACAGTAACCTGGCTATTTTAACCTGTTATATTTAAATATGTAACAGTAGTAGTCTCAAGACTCTTGCCAGTCTTGCATGTTTTTAATAGATTTTTACTAGAGGTATTTTCTACATAGAAAATCTTTAAATAAATAGTAGTTTTAGTAATTTAATGCAAATAAAATTTAAAGGAAGAAATTATTAGAATATTTGACGAAAATTGTTGTTTTTCGATATATTGAACCAGCATTTCTTTAAAATTTTATGCAATAGTCGGGAATATTTGTAATAAATCAAAACAATAATTTTGAAGAAATGCGTAATTTCTTATATCATATAAACGTGAAAAAATGCAAATCCGCATGATTCTTGCATGCTTGACCTTTCGGAAGTCTTGCACTGGTCGGTCTTGGTTTTGCAGTTTGTGCAAAACCATAAAATGGAATATTTAAAAAAAACATGTGCGCCACTGACTTTTTCTTTTGATATCAAAATTGTGTAGGCCGTTTAATACCCATTAAAAATTATCTCTTGATATTTTGTCGAATTCGGCCTTCTTGATGAGCCTGAAGCCGCGTCCAAGCTACTCGAACAATATGTTCGCGAACATATATAATTAAACAGATACTAAGTGAAAATTGTGAGATAGGTAGATTTATAAATAATAAAGCCAACAAGTACAGCTAGCCTAGGCCCATTAAGGAGCGCGGAGCGCCGAACGGCTAGTTTGTACGCCAGAGCGTGCGTCTGCCTATGCTAGAGCGCGCGCGTTCTTTTTCCGACGAGTGTCGGTAAATCAAAAGGAGCGAACGGCGTGCATTTCGGCGGACATTGTACCGGACACTTGGAAGGGTCTCATTTAATTTCGGGCGTCCATCTGTGATTTTTATTTTTTACCGAGTATTCGACAATGGGAGACGCAGTTATTGACTGGGATCGTGAAAAACATTTACAACTAATTTATTTATACAAAGAAAAGATTTTATAATTTTAATTTTATTGAGGGTTGAGTGTGAATAGCTATGTAGCTAGACTTCGTCCATATAATTTCATTTTTGTTAATAAAGACCTTTATGATTATTTTTATTAAAAACCGGAATTATTATGGGATTCTGAAATTAAAAATTACTACTTAATAGGAAGTTTGACACCGGAAATGAAATTTTACCATTACATTTTTAGAAATAAATATACCGGGTGTTTCTGAAAAGTACGACACTTCTATAACTTTTTTAATTTTTTAGATAAAAAACGAGATTTGGTATGTTAGTATAGGACATAAATCAGGATTGATCGACGTTTTCATTTATTTTCGGTCACTACGTATTTCACCGGAAATGACAACTTTTGATTTAAATGGTACCCTCGGTATTTTTTTACTGTATATGATAGAAAATGACATTCTAAATAGAATGATATATTATATGTCAACTTTTGACATTTTCAATTTAAAAATGGCCATAAATAAACGTAACGAGAGTTTTACTCCAAATACCAAGTATGTGGTACCAAATTATTCGTAAAAAAATGCTTTTTCCAAATATGCTGAGCCAGCCTCGTATCATTTGAAAAATTTGAGTTATCATTAAAAATACGATTTGGGCATCTTTTAAGCGGCCAAAAAAGGATACGAAAAAAAATTACACAATCAAATATATGTTTCCAAAGTTCTTTGATTACAAATTAATAGTTTTAACTCAGTCTTGGCACTCTAGATTGAAATTTAAAATGCTATTTTTATTTAATTGGAATTGTCTAAAATTGCGTATGGTATGTCATTCTATTCAGAATGTCATTTTCTATCACAAATAAAGTAAAAAAAATACTTAGGATACAATCTAAAAATACAAAGTTGTAGTCATTTCCGGTGAAACAGGAAGCGACCGAAGGTCATTGAATACGTCAATCAATCCCGATTTATGTCATATATTAACAAACTAAATTTCGTTGTATTATTTGAAAAAATAAAAAAGTAAAAAAGTGAGCCCCTTTTGAGAAACACCTGGTAGAATCGGCTGAAAATGAATACAGGTCTTAAAAATACACTATAACGAATAATCTACCAAAAGACCCCTGTAACCCTCCGCCTGCTAAATATTAATTCTTCAACGACAAAAGTTCTTAAACTGTTTACCGGTTAATTTATTTAATAAAATGCTTGCACTCGAAATCCGGGCACTCGAAAAAACAGAGACTACCTAAACGCATCCTAGATCTATAGAGCAAACTGGTTGTCGCATTCTTCCCCGCACTTCAGTCCTCGGGACCGATGCGATGGGCTGTGCCGTCGTTTACGACCTGCTGCTACGAGTATATAGTGTGAATTATACATATATGTTCGCGAACGTTTTGTTCGAGTAGCTTGGACGCGGCTTAATAAACGCAATTTTATTACTCACAATTAATAAAATTTAAAAAAAATAAAATTAATAAATTATATATTTTACCTAATTTATTATTATTAAATATTATTATTATTAGTCCAACCCACAGCAATTTCAAATAAAAAAATAATGGTATAACATCCTGTAACTCTAAAATGATGCATTTCCAAACCCATGTATATAGGAACTTTTTTTGATGAGGAATCAATGAGTACTTATTTAAAACTTTCGCAAGTTAATGATATTAAATTTATTTAAAGGTTGCTATTAGACTTGGATCAAGGAAATTTAAAAATATTGCATTTATCTCATCATATATATTATCAAGGAGGCCGACAAAATATCAAGAGACTATTAAACTGCTTACACTATTTCGTTAACAAAAGAAAAAAGTCAGTGTCGTACATGCTTTTTTTAGAAAAATATTTCGGTGATAACCCATATGCACGTCCCATCGACACTTTTATAGCCTTAAAATATGTCGCATATATAGTAACTTTTACCCTCAAAATTTAATTGAAAACGCTAAAAGTACTTGGATAATTATAATAAATCGAAAAAATATTAAGACTTTAACACCCTTTAGTTACGAAATAAAGCAGAATAGGACCTATTTTAATATGAAAAATAAATCTTAATTTTAAGTGAGGAATCTCCCCATGAGATATGGCACATGTTTTTTGAAACACCTTGTATAAACCAAATTATTTCCACTAGATATTTAATTTTTGAAGGGCTCACCATTTTTTTCATATTTACTCCAAATATTGCTTGCTATTGCTGCCGTTACTCTTGCATCTTTATCACCATATCCACTATAGGCTAAAAGCAAACCTTCCTGGTTTACAAGTCTACAAAACGGAACAATAGAATAAAGAATGGAATTTTCAATTCCCTTCTAGAAAATAAATAATAGTGTATAGAAGAATATCCAGTCTTATTTTAAATTTATATTAACAAATAATATATTTGTATAAATACCTATTTACACAAATATTTAATTGGAATTTTAACACCTATTAAAATCAACTTGAACACATGGTATAAAACTTGGGAGATGTGAAATCTAAATGTGATGCAGACATTTCAAATTAAAATAAAGCATGCAGTGCCTTTTATTCTCAGATTGTATCACCAAGCTTTTACTACATTATAAATACCCGTAAGGGTCTAGAAATTGAACCAGGGAAATAAAAACCCAGCAATTGCCATTAAACGTTTGCAACGTGAAAATTTAGGTAATTTTATTTCATGACACCTGCTCTATCTAAAGATTAAAAAACAAACATAATGAGTGATATACTGAATTTGAATAATGGTGGACAATGCTGTTGTTGTATTATAAGTATTGATGTATTATATTACTATTAAGTATATAAAGCAATAGATATAAGTTTTTTTTAACTTTTAGTAGGTATTCTGAGATATAGCTATCCCTTTAGAGTACTAAAAAACTTAATAGAAACTACTTAACTGTAAACTGGCACATTTACAATTGGAAGATATACTGATATACCCTCCCTTCATTAAAAAACGAAATTTTTCCTTCCAAGTTTTTATACAAAGTTGTAATTTGATATTAGCATTCTGCAATTATTTTGATGTGTTTTATAGGAACTTAACAGTACATAACTGTATCAAAACCCTTTGTTTAATTCTTTTCCAGAAAATATAATACTTATTGGAACTAAATGAAATGTGAATATACATATATTTTTTCTTATAAGTACAACATTTCTCTTTACAGTATATACCATACTCATACTGTGTTTAATCTACTCTGGTAAATCTACATCACAGTATAAGGAACTTGGATCTTTCTACTATGATATAAGGAACGTAGATGTCTACATTAAAAAACAATATAAAATCTTTATAAATATTTATAATATAAAATAGATTTTAGATCTCTCATCTTTGTATTTTATTGTGTCTATTTAATATATTGAATAGGCATACTACTATTTAATATATTGAATAATTTAATATGTAAACTCTTTAAGAAAGTTTTGTTCTTGAAAATACACAAGGAACATAATAATATACCTACTTATTTAGTATTAAACTTACAAAGTATTTTCAACTCCACCTGTATTAGCTTGACTTAAAACTTGGGTGAGAACTTTAGGTTTCAACATTTTTTTTTAATCTAGCCGCACAGTTTATTTACAATTTTTAATTTTATGATAAATCACGGGTTTTAGTGTTATGAGAAAAAGAATGTCAACAACTGTTGATAAAATATATAATCAAATATCTATAATATTAATAAAAAAAAGACAATATTTTATTGTTATGGAACATTTATGAAAATAGTTTTGACAATAAACATATTTTTTAAAAATAAAAATTGACATGTACATCAGCTGATCGAGGCAGGGGGGTGACAGTGAAATAGGAAAATTGGAAACAGTCATTAGTGTCATTCTCCTCACGACAAGTATGGCCGCCTAGACAAGGACAGCATTGTTTTTGTCTAACTATTGTCTAACTTCACAGTTTAGAATTGACAGATTTCAGTTTCAGAGACAACTTCAGATTTGTTCTAGAACAAATTCGAAAAGATAGAAGAATCTTTGCAATTACTACTATTTTTATTTTATAGGTTTTTATTATCGTATCTTATGCATATTATATCCCTTGATATAATCTTGTTAAACTAATGTACCTATTCTCTGTGTGAAGTGTGAAACAATGACGTTTACCCATCCATGATATACTACACTCTTGTACAAAAAAGAACATTAATTAACCTATTATCTATGGAAGTTCTCTGTCAAAATAAAATTTAGCTATGCCCAAAATAGGTACTTTCTTCTTCCTTTCTTTTATTTGTCTGTGTTGTTTATTATATGTGTTTATTTACCTTTAAAAGAAAACACAAACTTTGTTTTTATTATGAAAATCTATGTCAGCTAGATATAAACGATATAAATATATAAACGAGGGTATAAGCAAGTAGGTATAAGTAACAGTTTATTTAAAAATTTCTTTGTGAAGCAATGTAATTAGGAATACGACGAATTTGATTTAATTCTAAAAGGCTATGTCTTTTAATTCTGATTCGGATTTAGAAGTAAGAGTACGTAAGGGTAAGTCTAAATTATAACTAACTTGACAAACATTACTAGCTAGATATTTTTAGCTACTGAGAGAATATCGGAAAACATGCATATAGTAGCTAATGAACCCTCTTTAGCATTTTATAGACTACAAGAACATGTGAGGAAAGCATTACATCCTATGGTAGATAGACGAACGGACGTCAATAAATTGCACGTTGAATTACAAGGAAGATGTTATGATATGGAATATGCAGTAGGGTAATTAGCCAGTATTTCATAATTAACAATTTTGCAAATAAATATTTATTTTTAAGAGCTCTAAAATCTACCAGCAGTGCAAATGAAACTTTTGATAATATACGTGAAGGTTTAAAGAATGCGATATTCCTAAAGCAACAATTAAAGTATGAAGAATCTAGAAGGAAGAAGTCAGACTCAAGTTCAGTATATAAAAGGCTTTCAGCTCATATTACTTTGGACTTACCTGAATTACCAGAACTATCAGATGTTGTTAGAGAAACAGCTAACAAAGTTGAAAGTATGATGAGTAAAGCCACACACTCGTCACAAATTCTTAATGCATTGTAACTTAGTTTGTTTAATATATGTATTATTACATAGAGGCGTTTTTACCAGGATTGTGCAGTGCTAATCAAAGCAGGGTAGGCAAAAATGCCTAATTTAGAACTTCTATGTAGACTACAAAAACTTAAAAATATATAGATTCTATTTAAAATAAGGAAATTGGCAACTTACCTCGGGGTAAATTGGAAGTGCCAGAAAGTGAAAAATATTTTAAAAGAAAGTACACCTGGAAATAATTTTATCTAAAATATTCAAATTCATTTCTAGATTTTTGAATCCAAAAGTTAGTAATAAATAAAAGTACATATAATTAACTAATTGGTATTGAAACAATACAATCCTCTATATTTTTATATTTATTTAGTCACGTTGTTCCATATTTCAAATAAATATATGTGAATAAATAATTTTTTGGTTTTATTTATGAAAAGTAAAAATACAAAATACATTTGAACTGAAAGAGGACCCGCCATTGAATAACCGGAAACGGAAATGAAAATTAAGCCATCATGTCCTTATCATGTCAACGTGTCAATTGGAAAATTAGTTCTCCAGACGACAACGAAGGCTTTCGGTGGCGTATCGTGTTTCCACGATTTAACACAGAGTTGACACTTCTTTCTAGTTAATTATTTTATGGATCGAGGATCCACCTGAGGGTGCAGCCACACTATCCTAAAAACGGCGTATCGGCGTAACGGCGTAACGACCTTGAATCGATTTCCAGTAATTCTATTGGCTAAAATTTTTGACAGATGAATTTGACAGATAAAATTTCTGACAGATGAATGTTCAGCCAATAGAATTACTGGAAATCCATTCAAGGTCATTACGCCCGTTACGCCGATACGCCGTTTTTAGGATAGTGTGGCTGCACCCTGATTCTTCTTGAAGTTAATGATCATTCTAGGGTTGGCTAACAAGATATTTGAACTATTTACATATATATTTCTTGATGTAAAATATAATTGTAAAGATAGAAGAATCTTTGCAATTACTACTATTTTTATTTTATAGGTTTTTATTATCGTATCTTATGCATATTATATCCCTTGATATATTCTTGTTAAACTAATGTACCTATTCTCTGTGTGAAGTGTGAAACAATTACGTTTACCCATCCATGATATACTTACTAATTTACTACCCTTGTACAAAAAGAACATTAATTAACCTATTATCTATGGTAGTTCTCTGTCAAAATAAAATTTAGCTATGCCCAAAATAGGTACTTTCTTCTTTCTTATTTGTCTGTGTTATTTATTTACCTTAATTTACCTTTAAAAGAAAACACAAACTTTGTTTTTATTATGAAAATCTATGTCAGCTAGATATAAACGATATAAATATATAAACGAGGGTATAAGCAAGTAGGTATAAGTAACAGTTTATTTAAAAATTTCTTTGTGAAGCAATGTAATTAGGAATACGACGAATTTGATTTAATTCTAAAAGGCTATGTCTTTTAATTCTGATTCGGATTTAGAAGTAAGAGTACGTAAGGGTAAGTCTAAATTATAACTAACTTGACAAACACTACTAGCTAGATATTTTTTAGCTACTGAGAGAATATCGGAAAACATGCATATAGTAGCTAATGAACCCTCTTTAGCATTTTATAGACTACAAGAACATGTGAGGAAAGCATTACATCCTATGGTAGATAGACGAACGGACGTCAATAAATTGCACGTTGAATTACAAGGAAGATGTTACGATATGGAATATGCAGTAGGGTAATTAGCCAGTATTTCATAATTAACAATTTTGCAAATAAATATTTATTTTTAAGAGCTCTAAAATCTACCAGCAGTGCAAATGAAACTTTTGATAATATACGTGAAGGTTTAAAGAATGCGATATTCCTAAAGCAACAATTAAAGTATGAAGAATCTAGAAGGAAGAAGTCAGACTCAAGTTCAGTATATAAAAGGCTTTCAGCTCATATTACTTTGGACTTACCTGAATTACCAGAACTATCAGATGTTGTTAGAGAAACAGCTAACAAAGTTGAAAGTATGATGAGTAAAGCCACACACTCGTCAAATTCTTAATGCATTGTAACTTAGTTTGTTTAATATATGTATTATTACATAGACGCGTTTTTTTACCAGGATTGTGCAGTGCTAATCAAAGCAGGGTAGGCAAAAATGCCTAATTTAGAATTTCATGTAGACTACAAAACTTAAAAAATATATAGATTCTATTTAAAATAAGGAAATTGGCAACTTACCTCGGGGTAAATTGGAAGTGCCAGAAAGTGAAAAATATTTTAAAAAGAAAGTACACCTGGAAATAATTTTATCTAAAATATTCAAATTTATATCTAAATTTTTAGATCCAAAAAAGTTAGTAATAAATCTGCGCGCAAATGCCAATATTCTGTATTAAAGAAAATATAGTTCCTGGAAAATATAATATTTATTTGAACTCTGACAACTTAATACACAAATAATATATTTGTTTAATTCAGAAACTGAATAACTAATATAATTACTATTTGGGTCAATAAGATATTTAACATGCATATTAAGGTGTGTTAGGAAATAAAATTTCAGAGAAATCCTTCTGTCAAGTTTCCATAGTATTATTCAATTCGTTTCGAACAGCTTCAGCGGCCTCACTCATTTCCAATCCTTCTAAAATATATAGAAGATTGTCAAAATTAGCGTCCTCGTCATCTTCAAACCAAAGCTGCATCATGTGTTTAGCTTGGTCAAGACGTCCTTGATGTTCATTTTTAAACCATTCTATTTCGTCTGGTTTATATCCTAAAATTAGAAGAAATATTTATAAGATATTTTTTATTCATTCAATAATATTAACCCAGCTTAGTTCCCAATTTCTCCCATTGAGGTTCAATTTTTTCAATAATCAAATGCAACCTCTCCTCACTTATGTTTTTGATTTCTACTCTTGGGTTACTATCATCTGCAAACATCTCTTGGTCGTTTTGTTTAAAATCTTCCGCAGTTTGTTCTTCGGTCAGAATATTCTCCTCCATTTCTGGCTCTTGTTGAGATTCCTTAAATTATACAGGATGTTCCAAAAAGTTTGCAACAAATCAGATTTTTTTTAGTATCTTGTTATTGAAAAAAGTATATCTGGATAGGATTCAAGGCATTATAGCCAAATAACTTTAGATTTAAAAAAAAAGAGAGAGTCGGAACTCTTGACGCAGTTAGTTTCCATTTGACAAGTACAAAGATGAAAAAATCACGCTCTTGCAAATATATTTATTCAGAGTGGTCCGATTTGTATTCCGGAAACTTCGCCAACATATTCTGCAGATAAAAATAATTTAAACATTTTTGCCAAAATTTCATTTAGTCAGGTTTATAGGCTTTAGTGTCAATTTTGATATGATTGATGACGTGCATCGGAAAATGTTTTGCGATTACCGTATCTATATAATCTTTTTAGAGATTGTAGTGCAGAAGAAGTGACAATTAAAACTACAGTCAATCAAATTAATGTTCAGGAAGTTTCCAGTTAATTAAAGAATTAAAGAAGGCTTTTGTATTTTTACATTTAGCGTATTTCGTCCACTGCTGAACTTGAAATGTTTTCCTTCCTTACAAAGTTATGATGTTACTATAGTAATTAATAAGGTAAAAAATTAAAAATAGCACTAGAACTGCACTTTAGACCATGATATCATTAAAAAAAAACGGTTTGTGCTAGAAAACTGGAATTTAGTATGTAGATGGCGCTAATTAAATCGAGTTTGTAGTAGAATGTGTATTTGAGACGGTAGAACTTCCATAGTAGTTACTTTCACGACGAGTTACTTTCAGCGAAGTTTGAAAAACTTGAAAAGAATCCATCTAGATGGAAAGGAAATACTGCCATCACAGGAAGTGAAATATCTGGGAATAACCTTGGATAGTAAACTTCTCTGGAACAGGCATATTAAGAACATTACCAGCAAAGCCACAAAGGCTCTCATGATATGCAGAAGACTGGCCGGAAATAGGTAGGGTGCGCCCCTAACATTTTGCGCTGGATGTATACCATGATAGTAAGACCCATGATTACTTATGGAGCAGTTGCTTGGTATACAAAACTAGAGCAACGTACAGCAAGGCAAAACCTGTGCATAGTACAGAGATTGGCATGTATCTGCATCACAGGTGCCATGAGAACATGTCCAACAGCAGCAATGGAGGTCATTCTAGACCTAACACCACTGCACATTGTCGTCGGTAGTTATGCCAATGCGACTGATTAGAATGATCGGAAACTGTACTGACGGAAACAGTACTGGGAGAATTTTCAGGTCAGGGGCTTGGAACACTCTCAAAAAGAAAATTCCACTTCTCCAACTCCCAGTGGATGACATACCAAGAATTTACAACTTTGAGAAACACCTCACTGTAGTATTGAGTAATAAAAAGGATTGGAAGAAAGAAACGCTTACTCAGCATATAAAAGACCATACCATCACTTGGTATACTGATGCTTCCAAAACCAAAGCAGGGACAGGGATAGGAGTATTTGGGCCGAAAACTGAATACTCCGAACCAATGGGCACCTACCCCAGTATCCTTCAGGCAGAAATTTGCGCTATCGAAAGATGCGTCCAATTTATCTTAGATAGGAACTATCGAAAACAGGAAATTGCCATCCTATCCGATAGTCAAGCAGCACTTAACGCGATCAACTCAGTAACCATCAATTCGAAGTTGGTCAAGAATGCCTAGAGAAGCTCAACAAATTAGGTAAAGAAAATAAAGTCCTCCTACTCTGGGTGCCTGCTCACCAAGGGATAGAAGGCAATGAAAAAGCAAATTATCTAGCTAGAAAAGGAGCGAACACTCCACTAACTGGACCAGAACCGTTCTGTTTTCCAAACGGGAACCAACTGAAAGCGGAACTGAAGAATCTGAAGACTCCATCCGTAACTTGGAATGGGTGTCCTCCAACGGCCTAAGACACTCGAAAAAGTTCCTCAGAACTTATGACTCAGGACTTATGAGAAAAATCAAAGGTTTTCCTTGATTTAAGTAAAAACAATCTTCGGATTGTCACGGGGTTTCTAACAGGACACTGTCTCCTCAACGAACACCTCAGTAGGCTGAAACTGAGAAACAACGGCGAATGCAGATTTTGTGGGGAAAATGGGGAAACACCAGAACACCTTATCACTGAGTGCGCCGAGACGACGACCATACGTGCCATGAACCTTGGTACGTCTGATGTCGAGGATGGAGAGCTGGCTTCTGTGGAGCCGTATCAGATACTGGCTTTTGTTAAAGCCCTGAGACTGTATGATGAGTTATAACTCGTTATAACTCAAGAAAGGGGAACACACAATAGATCTATAAGGTCGCGGTGATTAACTCCCCTCCTAAACATTCTACATTCTACTTTCACGACAGAAACTTAAATTTGTAAAAATTTCCCCGAAACTCATAAGTTGAATTGAAATTTTTCGAATTATTAATCGAAAACTATTAAAATTATTGTGCATTGAAGTTTGACGATGACTATCTTTTAAACAGTTAATTTAATTGACTTACCATAAAAAACAATTTTTGTAGAGCAGTGAATTTCCTACAAAACCATGTGTTGCGCGTATCATAATGATTTTTTGTTAACGAGTTATAAAATTCATAAGAAAAAAGAAAAGTACCTTAAAATAATAAATCTTCAACCTTTAATAACTTTCGAATGGTGAGGTTTACAAAAAAATATGTAAGAGACCTTTTTTGTAGAGAATTCCATTTCCTACAAACATATGAGAAGAGATATTTTTTTCTAAATAGTAGATACCGAGATATGAATTTTTCTTTCTAATAATAAAATTTAAAAAAAATAGAAAACTGAAAGGCGGAGGACACCTTCCTATTAAAATTAAGAGTTCATACTTGGAGAGAATTTTTTGAGGTGTCTACCAACATTTTCACAGTATAAAGCGAAAAAAAATAGTCAATTTTTTTGGCCCACCCTATTGAGCATCCTGTATATAATATACTCAAATAAGCATTCAACCTAAAAACTAGATTTAATTAGTGCCATTCGCATACCAAAATTATTTCTTCCAGAGCGATCTGTTTTTGCAATACGTTGATGATATTGTATTTTTGGGTCACCCTATACAGGGGAAATCTTAAATAAGTGCAAATATTTTTAGGGGGTGGTATACAGGGTGGCGCACCTCATTTGCCTCGGTTGATTATACGAAAACGGAAAGATGTAGAAACAAAATATTTTATGGGTATATGTGGCGAGACAATGTGCACAATTTAAAATTATTTTGAAATATACAGGGCGTCTCAGAACTAAGATCCATACCAAAGTTATATTTTTTTTATGGAACACCCGGTATTTTATTTCATTTTTGGATTCTTAGGCCCAAAAAAAGGCATTTATTATAAGGGTTAAATATGTTTAAAATCATTGGTTTTTGAGATATTTAAAGATATTTAAATATGCATGCTACAAGAAAATTGATTATCAACACCCTGTACATTACCTTTCAGAATTAATTCTTGTGCTGAGTTTAAAAGTAAAGAAATAAACTTTACTGAAAAATATTATTGTCGCCTTAAATTTATACAGGGGTACCAAAAATTAGTGATCTACTTTAAGGATTTATTTTACATGAAAACTTTGTTATTTCAAATGCAACACCCTGTATTTTTTTAAATAAATCGAAGCAGATTCAAATGCTCTTTCAAACTATATTAGGGTTTCCTATATCTATCTATCTCAGGTTTTGAATAAAAAGCGATTTTTAAATAAAATGGCAATCAAGATGGCTGGTATCGTCATGGCAATTTTCTAGTGACAGTTATTAACTATTTTCAACATCAACATTAATGTATGGACATTATTATTTGAACAGTTTACTAAAATTTACCCACAATAGTTTAATAAGTAAGTATTATTTATTTTATGAAGAAAAATAAAGCCATATCTGTTGGTGGAACGAATGGATATGTTACTAGTGATTTTATTTTGTGAGAAAAAATATTTCTTGGCCTCAAGAGCAAGAGCTAATGCTCAATGATATCCAAATAGGAATCTTCCTGATAAACGTTCCTTTGAAAAACTACTTGTCCTATTTCCTATTTCGTAGAATTGGTAGTGTATGTTTATAACAAAACCTATTAGGCAGAAACCTGTCGTTGGAAGTAAAGAAATTGAATTTGCCGTAATTGGCTCTTTTATAAAAAAATCATATATCTACAAGTTATCGTAAAATAAAACAAAGAACTACTTCTTCGTTTTTCTTGATAGAATAATAAATACATATTAATAAATATTATTTATTAAAGTATTGTAGGTCAATTAAATAAAAGTAAACTGGTATAGATTTAAATAAAGTCTATAAACTAATGTAGATTTTGAAAATAGTTACTGTCACTAGAAAATTGCCATGGCGATACCAGCCATCTTCATTGCCATTTTATTTAAAAATTGCTTTTTATTCAAAATCTGAGATAGATAGGTAGAGGAAACCCTAATATAGTTTGAAAGAACATTTGAATCTGCTTCGATTTATTTAAAAAAATACAGGGTGTTGCATTTGAAATAACAAAGTTTTTATGTAAATATAAATCCTTAAAATAGATCACTATTTTTTGATACCCCTGTATAAATTTAAGGAAGCAATAATATTTTTCAGTAAAGTTTATTTCTTTGCCTTTAAACTCAGCACAAGAATTAATTCTGAAAAGTAATGTACAGGGTCTTAATAATCAATTCTCTTGTAGCATGCATATTTAAATATCTTTAAATATCTCAAAAACCAATGATTTTAAACATATAACCCTATAATAAATGTCTTTTATATATATAGACCCTTATAATAAATGTCTTTTTTTGGACCCAAGAATCCAAAAATGAAATATAATACCGGGTGTTCTATAAGTAAAAATATAACTTTGGTATGGATCTTAGTTCTGAGACACCCTGTATATTTCAAAATAATTTTAAATTGTGCACATTGACTCCTCACATAAACCCATAAAATATTTTGTTTCTAAATCTTTCCGTTTTCGTATAATCAACCGAGGCGAATGAGGTGCGCCACCCTGTATAATATCGACCCCAGAAACACTGCTATGGTTTTTATTTGCGAAAAATTTTCTTTGAAAATTCGGAATTTTTTTGAATAAAGAATTGGAAATTTTTTAAAATTTTAGTTAAAAATACAAATCTTCATAATATGGCAACATAGAGAGTAGATTAAATTTACAAGAAAGAAAACCCAGAAAAGGTCCAGCGGTCCTCAAAACGTAAGCGAATTTTTTTTTTTTCATTTTCAAAGTAAAATCTCTGGGTTATTTTGTACTTATTTGAAAAAGGGTAAAGAAAAAAATGTTTCTGTTTTCGAGATCTACCAGCCCTGAAAATATATGCAAATATCTAAGACTCACCCTGTATAATAACCAAACAATTTTGTAGGAAAACGTCACATCGAAAAATTTTATGTAAAATACCCTCCTATTTTTTCCGCAAATATTCATTTAAATCCTGCAGAGCCTATTTAGAATATTAATTGGTCAACCTATACACCGTCCGCAACGTGTAACTTTCGATGCCGATTTTCATGTGTAAGAAGCCTAGATCATATATACTTACGTGTATAAGTAAATAACTATGGAAACTGTGTCGCAAACATATCAACGATTTCCATTTACCTTCTTTTTGTTGCACACGCGGTGCTTCTACTCTATCTATCCTTGTCGAGGACTGTTCGTCCAAGCGCCAAATTTGAACATTAATTTTAAAAATTTAATTTGTAAAATGTATACAGAGAAGACCAGGCTACTAGTAACATAGCAAGTTGCCGGACGAATTTACGTTTACCCGTTTTGCGTTCGTACTCGAGAGTCACTGCCGGCTAGTCGCGGCTGGTCAGGCAGTACGCAGTTGCAGTTGTGCTTGGACGGGTCGGTCGTGACAGACTAGGAATATGACGCGAGGAGTGCCGTGTATTGATTATTTTCATTTTAAGTGTTTACCTTCACTTAAGGTAACATTTAAAATAAAAATACTTAAATATTTATTATTTGAGTGTGTTTACAAGCCAAAACTAAAAATAAATAAATTCTCTAAACCCAAAAAAAAACTATAATATTACTCTAAATAAAAAAAGTTATAACAAGTGTTCAAAAAGACCACCCTCTGGTGCTAGACAGAAGCCTAGGCGGTCGTAAAATCCCCGTCTGACATTGGCTAACATATTAGGGCTAATAGTTTGGAAAGCCTCTCGTATTTTTACTTAAGCTCATCTAGATTATTAGCCCTATTATGACCATACACTTTGGATTTTACATAACCCCACAAAAAGAAATCATTGGGAGAAAGATCTGGTGATCTAGCGGGCCACAAAATAGTTCCATGTCCACTAATTAAACGGTTGGGAAAAGTATTGTTCAAATATCCTTGAACAATACGGGCATTGTGCAGGGCAACCACCTCAGCAATTTGATTACTTGAAAACGTGGGATTTTGATCCGCGGTAGTACAAAAATCGGCACTTGCTTTAACTCCTGTTCTTCATTAATGAACACATCAGGCTTTTTGTATTTTTGTGGGGACACGCACCCATGTGTTTCAAAATTATTAATAACTCTTGATATAGTAGATAAAGATGGAATTGGCCTGTTTACAAAAGTTTGTGGAAAAATTGTTTGTATATCCCGATAAGACCTATTTTGGAAATACCATTTTACAATTTGAATTTTCTCACGAACTTCATAAACATCCATTATTTTACTTAAAAAAATAAATTTTACATGAGAACTGTCGCGAGAATCTACGTATTCGTGTTGGCTATTAAAACACGAATAAATACAAATTCTGACACATTCTTATCACATATCGACCTATTTTTATTTTATCGCATTTTTTCGCTTGCTTTTTATCCGGCGGACTGGTATACGCTAATTTGTCCGGTTCTGCCTATGTTACTGCTACGGTGGTCCGGTCTGTATACAGTGCATGCTCGATAGTTCGACGTTCGATAATTCAACACGCCCACTAGTTCGACGTTTTTCCGAATCGGGACTAAACCCTGTAGTTCGACAAAAATATAAAATTGCTGCTCTGTAGTTCGACTCAAATATGCAAGCAATCAGTGTTCGACAGTTGTCTTTCAGCGTCTGTGTACAAGTAACGTACTTAAATCGTTTGCTCCGTGATTTGTTGAATTTTGGCTTGTTTGTAGCCTTATGTCTTCAACAAAACGGAAACATCAAACGTTAACCCTTAAAATTAAAATGGAAATATTACGTAAAGTGGACAGCGGCTTAAAAGTAACAGACATTGCCAAATCGTATAAAGTTCCTCGGCTCACCATTTATTCTATAATCAAGAACCGTGCAAAAGTAGAAACTTTAGTCGCAGTTAGGTACATACCAGTTTGTACAAATTGCGTTACGTAGAATCATTACACAGCTAATCCAGTTATTCGACACATTCATTAATTCGACGATAGTTTAATTTTTCCGGTGTCGAACTATCGAGCTTGTACTGTATTTGAACAATAAATTGAATGTTTTGCTGTCACAAAAATTAAATTATCTAAAAAATACATTTCGCCGCTCCGTACAAATATCAATATTCTTAGGAAATCTAATCTTAGGAATCTACCAGAAAGTATGCATGTGGTATAATATAAATAAAAAAACAACTGAATACTTTACTTGCCTATGAAAAGATAATTCGGGGACCTTTATATTAGAACTTCCACACACCAAACACTTTCTAGTCATTTTTACGAGTATTTAAAAAGTCCAACGAAAAAAAATAGAAATATAATTGCACAAACTTAAAAAACTTCTCACTGAACACACTTGCATCCTTGACGGAACAAGCCGTTATTATACAATTGTGTTATACAATGGAAGTTAGATTATGACATATGATTATGACAAGATTATGACAATATGATGACAATGAAAAGTTGGTTACCATAACAACGTATAATCACAGATTATACAGATTATAATGTTTATTTTTTCTTTATTGTTTTTCATGGTTCCAATTTTCGGAATCGGACACTAGTTAGGTGACTAGTTTGCGCACATAGCACGCCCACGTATGGCCTCTAAAATTGTGCACAGCGCCTGACCGGCACAGTTATTAGAGAGATATCGGAAAACCGAATAGCGTCATCCAGTATTTACGCGTACCTTATCATGGTTACGATATGCGCGAGTCAACGCAACACCCGCTAATAACGTTACAGCCTGACGTAATTTGCGGATCAATTACACCAAGCGCTCTTTCTAAATAACCTCTGATAACGTTTAAAAATTGCTTAAATGGGCATGTGCGGGTATTTGACAACCGGAGCCGGCCGGCGAGATCTTTTATTTTAGGTTATGTTTGAATTGTTTTGAATTATTACTTATTAGGTAATTTCATATTTAAGTAGCTCGGATTAGTTTTAATTAAATAAATATGGCCTAAAATATGGATTCCACCTCTTCCAATACTAAAGAACCTATAAAAAGTCTTAGGTTTACAGCAGATGACCACTTAGCCCTTCTAAGAGAATTTGTTGCTTGTTGCCCTAAACCCATTGGCAGACGATGAACAATAAAGCACTGGAAATAAGCACTTTAGCCCTTTAGTTTTAAAATGCCTAGTAAACAAAACAATTTCAAAGTTTTAAATTCAAAGTTAGGTTAAGTTTAAATAGCGGACGCGACGCGATCAGAATTCTTTCCGATCCGATAACTATAAATGAAGAGAGTTAATACCACCTCACGTAAAGGAAATAACACCTAGCCTTATTAATGTCCATGCACGCTATTCGGTTTAGCGATATCTCTCTATTACGCTGTTTATTGTTATTTTACGCGAGTTTATTTTTGCGCACAGGAAATTTGACTCGTTTGCACATCGTCCTAAAAAACAATTTTCGTACCACGAATTAGGGACAAGATTTTTATCTGTATACTTATAGGATACCTAATCTGTGGTATAATTTGAACTTTCTAAACCGTATAAAATTGTGATTATTTTGGAAATACCTGCAATTTTTAATGCGCATGAGCAAAGTAAGGTTCTCGAAAAAGACAAACCTATTGAACGTTTTATAAATGCAATAAAGAAGGTTTGAAAATGGCATGTCGTGATGTTGGATACATATTTTTTAATGCTAAATTTATGGCGTTGATTTATCCACGTAAGTATATTGTATATGATCTAGGGTAAGAAGAGTACAGTCAATGTGTTTAGTACAATAAAATGTACCGAACAAAGAGGGAAAAGCAAGTATTCTTCAAAGCGCATGAAACAGAGCACCTGATGAAATGGTTATATAATAAATGCATTTTTCTCTCTCCGACTTACAACATCGCTATAAGTCGGTCTTTTTGGTTCAACGGCTTTGAACTATGCAAGAGTGAGAAGTACTTTGCGATTAGATGATTTATTTGATACTGACCAATACAAGTAGTTTTCAGAGTTTCTATATACAACGTAAATCAAGTTAGCGTCTTACTGTTCGCGCCTTTATTTATAAATTTAAATTTAATCTCTGACATATTTAAACAAAAATAAGAAACGGATAGATTTGTCTATATTTCAAGAATATATAACAGGTTGAAATAATGCCATTACCAATAAAAAAATAATATATTATAATATATTATTAATATTTAGAGTTTAAAATAGTGCGAGGGCATGTAACAGCCAGTGACAGAGTTCAGCGATGAAGTACGCGAATCAGATCGTTTTATTTGGGGCGTGCGCATAAAAATCGCGTTGAACCAAAAGAATAGATTGATGCAAGATTGATATTCCCATTTCATTTGTTTGGCTTCACTTTCCACTCATTGTGTAAATGGGCTATTAACCATATAGTCTTGAAATATATTTGGACCCAAGAGTCAATGTAGCCGACAGGATATGTATTTTGTACCTGACTATTTTCATCTACTCGACCTGGTTTCTCGTGAGCTATTTTTTGAACCATTACTTCTAGATATGTTGACAATGGATGGTACTGCGTAGTATTAAGAGAGAAAAAATGTGGGCTTCTTCTTGCTAGCAGCCTCAATGCTCTCCAACCTATCAATTATACAAAATTACCATTAGATTTTATTACATTAATTATTATTAAATAAGTATTAGTGTAGTGTTCATACCAAAGTTACTATCTTTTAGAATATTATCTTCATCTTTCACCACAGCATTTGATTCTATTTGTGCCATCGCTTCCGCAAAATATTCGTCTAACGAGGGCATAATGTCCCTTTCTTTACCTTTACATGCTTCTAAATTATTTGGACACATATTCCAAAGCTTCGTTAGTTCAGCGCTGAAATATAATGACATTATAAAGAGATGAATTACTGTATTATTATAAAGAGATGAAATTAATGAATAACTTTACATTAAAGGGAACTAGAGGTGGGCAACGATCGAATGAGTATTCAAAACGAATCGTGAGATTCGATTCACCGCTTAGAATACGGTTCGCTCAATTGAATCGTGGCCACTAGAGGAGGGCAGAGATTGAAGATTGTTCATTTGAACGAGTATTAAGAATGAATCGTGAGATTTGATTGATTGCTTGCAATCCGGTTCGTTCAATTGAATCGTGGCCAGCAAGGATCCATAACATTTGAACGCCGAGCCGTAAAAAAGAATCGTGAGAATTGAATCGGATCAGAATTCGGTCATGCGTTCAAAGAGTCGTGGCCAGTACGGATCCGTAAGATTTGAACGATGAGCCGTAAAGAAGAATCGTGAGAATTGAATCGACCACAACATGATCGTTGGTTTCGCGTTGGGCGCGGCGGCGCTGATATAAGCGTAAATGCAGGCACCAATATTTAGACTTGAACAAAAGCCATAAACAAGCGATAAGAAAGTTATTTACAAGAAAAAAACTTATTTATACTGTACTTAGTACGGGAGTATCTGTAAGGTATTTAATTTTCATGTTAATATTTTTGTTAAAATAATATTACCGACTATTAAATGTCGGGACTAAAAGAGGAAATCGTGTTTTTATGCAGCTCCAAATAAATATTGTTGGCCTCTGCTCAATGTGATAAAAAACGGCGTCAACGATGGTTATAAAATGAAGATCGCTGTCATTTTTATATGTAAAGTAATGGGCAATGTCATCGATGTTCATTTCCAAGCCAACTGGACGCCACTTTTTTTCGATCATGCGGTATTATATACTATTTATTATGGTTATTAAATCGGAATTAAAATATGACTCTAAAAATATTAAATTGGTATTAAAAAGTCTTTAATAAATAGTATATATAAATTGGATTGATAATTTAATATTATTGGTAAAATAATCAATCCAATTACGATGACAGTATCATAAAGTGTTGAAAAACAAATGAAAGAACTGTATATTTCTTTTTCTGATCCCTTAAGTAATTGTCCTACCAAATTATCGCTGCTAGTGCCAGTTACGATTCTTGTTTTTATGAAACGTAAATTGTGCATATGATTCGTTCAAATGAACGAATCGTTCAGAGTCAATTCAATATGAGAAATTAAATCGTGTGATTCGATTCACTAAAAAGAATCGTAATGCCCATCACTAGTGGCCACGTGGCCACCACAGATCCATAAAGTTTGAACATGGTTTGAACAAACGAGTCGTAAGAATTGAATCGGATCACAATGCGAGTTCGTTTCTACGGCTCGTTCTTTCAAAGAATCGTGAGAATTGATTCATTGCTTACAATACGGTTTGTTTAAAAAATAAATATTAGAACGATATACTATGAGCTTGAGTACCCAAACTTTTATGTAATATAAGTAATTTGTAATATAGGTAATAGCAATAATGAAAATATAGATAAGTAATTATTATCGTAGTAATAAAATTTTACGTTCTATTATACCAATTTTATACAGGGTGATTCACGGCTATGGCACGTTAGACGTTTCTGGAGAACCGGTGTGATAAGATTTTTTTGAAAATTTGGATTTTTGCATAAAGGCACCTGCTCCATCTGTCTAAATTATTTTCAGCATTACAGTGTTGCCGCTTCATACTAAAAGTGGTAGTATCTTTGTTATTTTAAATGGAACATCTGGTATGTTATTATATTTTTCGAAACTACTTCCATATCTCAAAATATTTCTATTACACTAACCTATACCAATATCTACTAGTTTTCGAGATAAAACATAAAACATGTATAATATTGACAAAATCATGATCTTGAATAGACATTGGTTAAATCATAATTTCGGCATATTGAAAGCTGAAATTTGGTTTATAGATTAAGGAAAGTCGATATATTCGATCTGCCTAAATCAACTGATTGGATATCAAACAGGGAGGTTAGCAAATATAATTATTTCTGTTTGTTATAAAATCGTTCGAATTATCGATATTTTAAATTCAAGCCTATGTATTTTATTTAATAAATCGAAACCCAGACAAAATTGTCCTTCTGATTTCTTCAGTAAAACCATTTAAAAGTTAATAACTTTATTATAATTGTTTCTTTAAAGAAATTCGTTACCATGACAAATATACAAACTTATAAGTATCAATTATTAGAGTTTACGTGCTAAATTTCTAAAATTGTTATGGCAATGAAATTCTTGAAATGAAACTATAATATGATTATTAATTTTTAAATAGCTCTACTTAAGAAACCGGAAGGTTTAGGTATAGGAACATGATATATCATTAGAAAGCAATTTAATTAGACTTTTGATTTTTTAAATAATATACAAAGGGTTGAATTCAAAATAAAAAAGATTTGAGAAAATTTATAACAAACGGAAATAAATAATATGTTTGCTCTTCCTGTGTAATAACCAATCGGTTTATTTAGACAGATCGAATATACTTTCGTTAACTTATAACCCAAATTTCAACTTTAAAAATGATTAATTTATGATTTTACCCATGCTTATTTACAATCATGTTTGTGTCAATTTTACACATGTTTTATTTTTTATCTCAAAAACTATTAGACATAGATATAGGTTAGTATAATAGAAATAATATGAGATATGAAAGTAGCTTTCAAAAATGTAATATTATACTGGCTTTTCCATTTAAAATAAGAATGATGCTACCATTTTTCAAATGATGCGGCAACACTGTAATGCTGAAAATATTTTAATATTTTATGTAAAAATCCAAATTTTCATAAACATTCTAAGACCAGTTCTCCATAAACGTCTAACGTGCCATCGCCGCGAATCACCCTATATACCGGGTGCGTTGCAAAAGTGGCTCACCCCCTGTAACTTTTTTATTTTTTCAGATAAAAAATTGAAATTTGGTATGTTAATACGTGACAAAAATTAGGATTGATTGACGTATTCAATTGTTTTCTGTCACTTCCTGTTTCGCCGGAAATGACTACAATTTTTGATTTTTAAATGGTACCCTCGGGTTTTTGTTGCTTTATTGGATAGAAAATGATACTCTGAATAGAATGACATATCATATTTCAACTTTGACATTTTCGAATATGGTTTATTAAAAATTGCAACATGCGATTCATAACGACAATTTGACTCGAAATACCAAGTGTGTGGTACCAAATTATTCGTAAAAAAATGCTTTTTCCAAATATGCTAATGAGCCACCCTCGTTCCATTTGAAAAAATTGAGATATGATTAAAAATGCGATTTATGCATCTTTTAACCAGCCAGGACAAGAGACGAATAACATTAGACGATCAAATCTATTTTTCCAAGGCTGCTTGATAAAAATTAGTGTTTTTGTTTTAACCAAAAATGTCAAAAGTTGACATATGATATGTCATTCTATTCAGAGTATCATTTTCTATCAAATGAAGTAAAAAATTACCGAGGGTGTCATTTAAAAATCAAAAGTTGTAGTCATTTCCGGCAAAACAGGAAGTGACAGAAAACAATTGAACACGTCAATCAATCCTAATTTATGTCATATACTAACATACCAAATCTGTTTTTTTTATCTGAAAAAATAAAAGGGGTGAGCCACTTTTGAGACGCACACGGTATTATGTAGTAGTAAAATAAACTATAATTTAATGCTATATACAGGTTGTCCCAGAAATAAGTGCAAGTATTTTAACTGATAGTATATTTCGGCCTCAGAAACACGCCTATGAGGTATTTTTTGCGATAAAAATTTTTGAAAATTTGGAATGTTTTGAAAAAAATTTTGGATTTTTTTTTAGTTTTAAGTTAAAAAACATAATTTCTTGATAATATGACAACATAAGTTTTCGGACCACTACCAGCATATTATTGCCAAGGCATGTCGAATGATGGGATTAATTATTAGAACATCTAGGGATTTTAGGGATTTGCGCTCTTTGGTTGTGCTTTTCACTTCCCTGGTGCGCTCAGTGTTGGAGTATGGTTCAACCATTTGGTGCCCCTATTATCTTACACATAAAAGCCGCATTGAGGCCGTGCAGAACACGTTTCTGAGACATCTTCGATATAGATGTGGGCCAGGACATTCAGACATGGGGGTGGGTGCATTGAGAGAGCACTTTGGGTTGAGTTCGTTGGAGGACAGGAGAGTGTTTTTAGATATGTGTTTTATATTCAAATTGTTAAATAATATTATGATTTCTCCTCACTTACTACAGCGAATAAACTTTGCAGCTAACCCAAGAAATTTTAGGCATAATGATGTGTTGGCTAGAGGTAGATTTAACACGAGGCATTCCCAGAATATGCCTCTTAATCGGCTTATTTCATATGTCAATGCCAATGAAGACCTTGACTTTTGGGGGGTGTCCTTAAATACATTTAGAACCAGATTGGGAAGAAGTATCCTGTGAGTGCAATGTGTAAAAGTATATTTTTCTTGTCTTAAAAGTATATGTATTATATCTTGTTGTATACATTTTTGAATGTTTTTAAGAGTGTTTGGTTTGGGAAGTGTCTATATTATTTTATTTTTTTACTATATATTTGTATTTTTTACTTTTTGGATTTATGAATGTAAAATGGTTTATCGTTGGAATAATAATAATAATAATAATAACATAGGTAGTAGCTTAAATTTACATGAAAGAAAATCCAGATGTGATCCAGTGGTTCTCAAAATTTTAGCAAAAAATATTTTTTTTTTAAATTTTCAAAATAAAATAACTCGGTTATTTGGACTTATTTGAAAAACGGTAAAGAGAAAAAAATGTTTCTTTTGACCAGATCTACCACTCCTTAAAATACTTGCACTTATTTCTGGGAACCCTGTATATTTAATTTTCTTTATATTTATGAAGAATGCGTATTTATGTAGTAGGATATAAAATGCAAGCGATCTGAAAGTTGTTTACAAAAAAATATCTATTTATACTGTGATACGCAAAATGTGTTTGTAGTTTGTTCAAATGAACGAATCGTAAGAGTCGATTCATTATGAGAAATTGAATCGAGTGATTCGATTCACTAAAAAAATCGCAATGCCCATCACTACAGGGAACAAATAAAAGATTGTACAAGATATACAGAGTATTCAAAAAATGCCCGGTCAAATACAAATACTACTATGAATAGTTCTGACTTGTAACAAAACCCATGAGCAAGCAACGGGGATGTCAATGTCGGGAACTAAAGATCTAGAAACTATGCCTTTGGAGGAACTAGTTCCTCCCAAGGAACTAGAATTCATCCCTCTAACAAAAAACAATTTTTAGACGTTCATCCGTCCAAATACCCACATAATGCCGAATTGAAAAAACAACGAAATTGAAAGAAAAAACACAATAGTGACCAATAGATATCAAATATCAATTAAGATATAAAATATTAAGACTTTAATATTAACATACTTTCCCATATAATATTTTCCCTTTTCATTGGCTTGTCTAATTAGATCGCCTAACATTGGCTGCACATTTTCTATTCTTTCACTTACAGGTTCACTCTGAGGCAAAGATTTTTTGATCTCTAAAAGAAAAGCAAATGTTAAGCTTCATTCAGAACCTCCCAATTAGTGGAATAAATTAGAGGTTTCAATTACACTTTATACTTTTTAGTTTACGATTATTCACACTACGTCTAAAAAGCACAATTAAAATTAATGAAATATCCTAGCAACAGCTTGCGGTAGTCTATTGTATCCATAGAGAAAGGATAATATTTAGCTTATAAAACAATAAACTATTGATTTCTAACCAAAATTTTTCTTGACGGGTGATAATCAAAGGTCAAAATGACATTCCTCGCAAATTTTGTAGTATAATTAGTGGAAAAGTCAAAAGTTTGTTAACTTTTTCCACTAATTGAAAATTACTACCACTGATTATGACGTTCGGAATACTTAAGCTTCATTCAGAACCTCCCAATTAGTGGAATAAATTAGTGGTTTCAATTACACTTTATACTTTTTAGTTTACGATCATTCACAAAGTCTAAAAAACACAATTAAAATTAATAAAATATCCTAGCAACAGCTTGCGGTAGTCTGTTGTATCCATAGAGAAAGCATAATATTTAGCTTGTAAAACAATAAACTTTTGATTTCTAACAAAAATTTTTCTTGACGGGTGATAATCAAAGGCCAAAATGACATTCCTCGCAAATTTTGAAGTATAATTAATGGAAAAGTCAAATGTTTGTTAACTTTTTCCAATAATTGAAAATTACTACCACTAATTATAACGTTCTGAATGCTTACATTAAAATTAGGTGAAGAGACTTCTACGACTAATTGAAACTACTAATTTATTCAACCGATTTCGAGGTTCTGAATGAAGCTTTACATTAAAATTAGGTGAACAAACTTCTACGGCTAATTGAAACTACTAATTTATTCCACTGATTTCGAGGTTGTGAATCAAGCTTTATTTATAACATGTAAGACGTCACAGACTAATAAAAAATACCAACCTGGACAGCCGTCATTTTTCCATGCATTCCATAACTCTTCCCTTTTCAGTATACTTTTTGTTACTTCTGCAAAACTTTCGCCATCAGGTGGAGTTTCCTTTAATAAAGTATACACTTTTTCTGTAGCATTAGTAACCCATTCTTTTTGATCTGGTTTTAGTTCGTAATTGTCACTGAAATTTACCTTCTTTAATATATCGATCAACGTACATGGTGTCCCATTTTGGTTGAAATCATACGGTATCTCCGTTATTAGTAAAGATTGGAGGATGCGCGCAGTTTGCACAAACCTGTCCCATTTTTTAGTCAAACTGAAGATGCTGTCAACAAAATTTTCATAGCTCTCTTCGTTTCTGAGCTACAGGGTCTTTTCGATAATTTTGCAATTTGGGACATTCTCCGTATCTCCGTTATTATGGATGACATCGAGAAGGTGAAAACTGATTCTTATAGAACTTTTTACGTAGTCTGTTTTTCTACGAAAAAAATATTTTTGAAGATATGAACTAAAGTTATGTTTTTTCAAATGGAACACCTTGTATATTTATAAATCGTATGATCCCCCTTGCTATGAGCTTCTTAAAAATATATATCACTCTATATTTATTTTCACTATTTACTGCAATATTTAAAATATATCATTTTCTTATTAGTAGGCCGTGATAAATATCAAAAAATCAAAATAGTACTTACTAAAATAGTCATACAAATATTAAAATTTTATTTTGAATTGATATATTTTACTTTTGAACTGTTACCCCTGAACCTCTGAATATATTTTTTTTATGACGGGATGAGTTTGCAAATATCTAAAAGCTTGCATTACTAAAGCATTTTCCAGGTGTTCGACATTGTGCTAGTTGCCACGATATATTTCATATTTCAAAAATCCCCAAAATCAAAAATCGAGAACGGACAAATCCGGCAATAAGGGATGCCATCATATGGATCCATTGGTCCAATTCATTGATTTGAGAAATAATAATTTAACAAAATTCTAATATTTTCGTTATAAGTTAAGTTGTGAGTATATTTGCTGAAAGTATATTTCACGTAAATTAGCTAAAGGGTTATTTAAAAGTCCCGATACGATAGCTTCCAAGATTTACCAACAGCGGTAAAGAGTTAAGTTTCCCTAATATATAAAGAATTTATTAGTGGCTCTCAAAATAAAACAAGAGACAGATATCAGTATGCTTTTAATAATTCTTTAGTTTCTTTTATTATCAATCATGGCCTACTAATAAATTTGATCGTTTAATATTTTTTTAAATATTGCACTAAATACTGAAAATAAATTTAGAGTGACATATAGTCTTGAGAAGCTTATGGCAAGCCAGATCACACAGTTTATAAATATACAAGATGTTCCATTTAAGAAAACATAACTTTAGTTAATATCTTTAAAAATCTTCTTTTCGTAGAACAACATACTACGCCACTGTATTCTACGTAAAAAGGTCTACAATAAACAGTTTTCATCTTCTCGATACCTTTAACAATAACAGAGATACAGGTGGTGTCCCAAATTGCAAAATTTTCAAAAAGACCCTGTAGCTCAGAAACGAAGAGAGCTATGAAAATTTTGTTTACGGCATCTTTCGTTTGCCAACAAAGTGGCACAGGTTTGTGTAAACCACACCCTTCTATCTTCACGAATAATGGAGATACTGTATGATTTCAACCAAAATGGGACACCCTGTACCAATACTGAGAGAAATACGTACGATTTAAATTTAACTGAAGAAGTCAAATACTGAAATATTATTAAGAATTGTAGTAAAACGGAACGTCGAAAACTAACATCATGTAATTGCAAGTCTAATAATTTCTGGCTTGTCAAATATTTTGCGAAGTATCCAACATTAGCACTGTTATCAGAAGGTGTTACATAATCTAATTTAATGCCTTGGAATGTATTTAAAATATTCATAGAATGCTGAAAAAAAATAAAATAATAAAGTTGTAACTAATAAACTAACAAAGACATAATTTGTCTTTGTTAGTTCATTAAGAACTAACAATCATATTTTGGATAGTATAGACTAATTCTTGACTAAACATTTTAGTAATACAATAACTAGACATCAGATTACGTGCATTATCAATTTGCCAAAATATGCACTAAAAAAAGTGCGAGTCGGAATATGAAACCCCATCATCACTGGCGAAAAAATCGTCCGATTTAAACGAAATTTGGCATGTCGATAGATTGGACCAAGGTCAACTTGACCCCGTATGACACGTGTCCCTGTGACAGTTAGTTTTGACGTAAGGGACGTCCAAAAGGTTGATTTTCATGCGTCCGTTAATCCGCTGATACGATGCGATGATCCGACGGCGCTCTGATTGGTCATAGAATATTCGCGCCACTTTTCATCCGTAAATTTTTTACTCGATCCTGTCAACGAAGAAAGATCGTACGTTAATGAACGTTTTGACACTTTTTTGACAAATTTAATCTAACCTTAATAAAAATATAATAGTACAAGTGCTAGCGCCGTCGACAAAAACGATAATTTTAAGAAATCTGGTTCTTTCATATATCTTTTGCTATGCTCTGCTGATCAAAGTACGGGCCGTCTGGCTGCCGGTAGACTACTGCTGTTCACTACTGCGCATCACATCTTTACAGGGTATGCCATTTTCATGTGTTTTATGGAATTTCTCGTTTAGAGTAGAGATACAATGATACGATTTTCACATTACTTTGCTACTTTTTTATGAAACTAAATATGCAACACATTGGTTTGTCCTAGCCTCCGTAGTTTCTGAAATAGAGGGCGAATTTGTGATGCGCAGTAGTGAACAGATGTTGAATACAGATATGATGCGCAGTAGTGAACGCAATGTCTACTGGCAGCCAGACGGTCCACACTCTGTTCAAGAGAGCATAGCAAAAGATATATTCAGGAACCAGCTTTCTTAAAATTCTCTCTCAAAAACATTCGTTGCTAGCTCTTAGATTATAAGTAAAACAGCGAAATCGTTATGGAAAAGAAAATATAAAATGACATCAATCACAAGCAAATCGTATATCCGATGAACGGAGGCATGAAATTGCAATAAATTTAAAAACTGCGTAAGTTTCTAACCCAATCGAAGTCTTTAAATTCAACCAATAAGATAACAGATACAGTCAGATAACAGATGCATGAAAATCAAGCTTTAAGTTTGATTTTCATGCGTCCGTTATCCGTTGATACGATGCCGATGGTCCGACGGCGCGGCGCTTTGATCGGTCATAGCGTTTTCGTGCCACTTGTCATCCGTAAATTTTTTACTCCAGCCTGTTAACGGAGAAAAATAGTACGATAGCGGACGTTTTGACACTTTTTCACAAATTTAATCTAACCATAATAAAAATAATAGTACAAGAGCTAGCAACGTCGGAAAAACAAGAATTTTAAGAAAGTTGATATGAAATATATATACTACTTACAGTACGGGTGTCAAATCGATTTTTCATGTTACCTTTATACCTATACCTTTATAACTCTAATTCTTTGCGCTCCCGAGGAAGACATTAACCATGTCGAAATATACAGCTATAGAATAAATTCAGTTTGATTTAGAACAGACCGCTTCACGATAATATATCACTGTTGCGCTTCTGTATAGAGGTAAATTGTTTTTAAAAAATTATTTTGACTTCCAATGTCTACGTAATATTAAAAATACCCTGTATAATTACATGTCTCCAGTATAAGTTGTCCATATCTAAATAGAAAAAATATCAACATTTTTGCATAACTTTTCTGCAATCATTCGAATGCGCACGCAGCTTACTGCTTAATGCTTTGCGTTGCGAGTACCACAAGTGACGCGCGACGGTAAAAAACGTATTGTTACGGATTCCGTGGGTCCACTATTTAAACTCACGATAAAATACTTAACGAATTTATTTGTCTCACACTGTACACACAACTTATACTATTTACAACACAATTTATGCAACTACTATTACTCTAACGGTATTTCACAATTTAAAGCGCGGTATATTCAAACTTCGACTTCAGACTATCTTCAGATTGTCTTCCGACTGGTTCAACTGTCAAAGCGCGGGCCTTATATACCCCCTGGCGATTATTTCTGGAATTTTCTAAAGAATTCTGTAATTTTCTTTTACTTTCTATCGAATTCGCCAGGTTTCTCAATGCACGTTGCGGTTATGACCTTCCCGTTGATCACCAAACTGTCAGCGGTTTTTCCTAGACTCCGAATGGAAAACATCCTAGGGTCTCTGTTTTCTTCAGCCAATACTCGCCCGTTGGTATTAATTTCCTGGTGCCTATGATCTCTGAAGGGTAAACGGAATCGCATTTCAACGCGGCAATCCCGTTTGATGTGGCCATTCCTGCCACATCTGTAGCAACTTATGTCCTGGGATCTTCCGATATGCCGATGTTCTCTTACTGATGAACGGAATGGCATTTGGATGCGACAATTCCGTTGGATATGGCCATTCCTGCCACATCTATAGCACCTAATATCCTGGGATCTTCTCTGGTTCTCTATCTGGGTGTTGTTGACTCTCTTGTTTATTAGTAGCTCACATAGTTTGTCGACTTTCTTACACATCTCCTCCAAACCTCTGTGAGTGCTTTCGGGTTGTTCCTCGACCGTTACCGATCTTATCTTCGGTTTAGGGATGGCGTTAAAAGCAGCTTCAATTTCCAGCGCCCTGACCAGTGCTTCGCTGCTGGTAGAAAACCGGGATATTTGCAGCGCCCTCTGTAACTCGTTGTCCTTTAATCCACTAATAAAGCACTGAGCAGCGAGTTCCTCCCTAAATCCTTCCGGTGCTTCAGGATACGCTAGGTGTACCAGCCGACGTAAGTCTGCTTCGAATTCCTGCAGACTCTCTCCGGACCTCTGCAGGCGTGTCTTGATCTGGGCCTGGTAAAGTTGGCATCGATGTTGGTCGCCATATCTTCTGTCCAGTGCAGCGACCAAAGTTTGGTATTCCTGCTGTTGGGCTGCAGGAATAGTTTGCAACAGTTCCAGGGCAGGGCCTCGCAGCGCGATCACAAGTGCTGCTGCTTTCTCCTGGTCAGTCCATCCATTGGCAGCAGCCGCTGCTTCAAACTGGCGGTGGTACATCGTCCAGGTGGTTTGTCCATCGTAGGTCGGGGTCTTGAGGTTCGCAGTTCCATGAACGCTAGGTGTCCTTACTTGTACCTTGGTCTTCTGTAGGCCCATCTCTAATTTTTCCATTTTCTGCTGAAGGCCTTCCTCAAGATCTTCTACGGCTTCTTGAAGGTGGATGTCTTGCCTTTTTTCCAGTTCTTCAAAGTTCTTCTTAAAACGGTTTTGATCTTCTAATTTTTCTTTCTGGCGACGCACTTCTAAATCTTCAACAATTTTCTCCAACCGTTCTTGTCTAATTTCTTGATTTTCTAAAATTTTCTGAATATGGTCCTGTTCTTCTTGTCTTTTTTTTTTGACGTCGCTCCTCCAAACGAATTTCTATATTTCCTAATATTTTCTCAAGCCGGTTCTGTTCTTGTTTATCTTTCTGGCGACGCACTTCTAGATTTTCTACAATTTTCTCCAACCGTTCTTGTCTAATTTCTTGATTCTCCATAAGCATTTTCTGTAGTTGGTCTTGTTCTTCTTGACGTCGTAGTTTTTCCTCTTCTTTTTCTCTTTCCAATCAAGCTCGTTCCTCTTCTCGTTCTTTACGGAGTCTTTCTTGTTCTTCTGCCTTCTCTCTTCTCATATTCTCCATAAAATCGCCCAATAACTTGCTTACTTCCTCCATTTTCTTCGCTTGTTCTCTTGTACCAACCATAAAAATACTCTAATTAGGTCTAAAAATCTTCCAATCCACTTAATTTCTTCTTAAAATCCTCTTGAATCGCACTTCCGACACCAATTGTTACGGATTCCGTGGGTCCACTATTTAAACTCACGATAAAATACTTAACGAATTTATTTGTCCCACTCTGTACACACAACTTATACTATTTACAACACAATTTATGCAACTACTATTACTCTAACGGTATTTCACAATTTAAAGCGCGGTATATTCAAACTTCGACTTCAGACTATCTTCAGACTGTCTTCCGACTGGTCCAACTGTCAAAGCGCGGGCCTTATATACCCCCTGGCGATTGTTTCTGGAATTTTCTAAAGAATTCTGTAATTTTCTTTTACTTTCTATCGAATTCGCCAGGTTCTCAATGCACGTTGCGGTTATGCAACCAGTAATACACCTTGACCTTGACAGTATTTTTAATTTTATAAATGCCAGTCAAATTTAACTCGAGCGATTTCTGATCATTGAAATCGCTCGAAACTAGAGTACTCGATTATCGAAATTCATTGGTTTTCCCATCACTAGAAAATATGCAAATGCACATCATCTGATGTCTACTTGTAACATCTTCAAATTAAAAAAAAAACATACTGAGCAAAATGTTTTCCATTGGATTTTGTCATAGCACTGATTCGGATTTCTAAAAAAATCTTGTAATTGCCAGAACTTGCAATAAAATGAGAAATCTATTACATGTTTCTGATCTCCTGAAACGATTTCTGTAACAATGTCATCCGTTGAATCTGTACCATATTCAGTTACATTCTCCAAATTAAATTCGCTTACAATGTTTAAACCTAAAATATATATAAATTAATAATATATTAAATGGGCGCGTTCAGGGAACACAGCCGCTGACATTCAGCGTAGATTTTCGCTAACTCTTGCTTTATGACATTTTACGATATTCCCTAAAAAACGGCAAAAAGCAGCAAAAAGAATAAGAAACAGCAGCTGCCTCATGCGCTCTCTGTCTACTATAAAAATTTGAAAAAACTGCGTCAGCGATGACTATGAAATTAAGATCGCAGTCATTTTGTATCTAAAATTATGGGGGAATGCCATCGATCGTCATTTCTAAGCCAAATGAACGCCGGTTTTTTTTTTTCGATTATATATGGTAGGTACTAACATTTACTATAAATCTAAACTCCAATTATCTGAAATCTTTCAACTATCTTTGATCGCTTTAAGAACATTTAAATAAACAGTGATTACCTGTTACTGAATTACAATGATCAAATACGGTATGATCGAAAAGAAAACGAATTCAAAGACGGCTGGGAAATAATAATCGATGATAATTTTGGCGAGGTTTCGCTCTAGATGTCATTTATTCATTATTCATTTATTTTTAGAAAGATTGAAAAAGGATGGAACGTTTCCAGACACTCAAATCTATTTCCAAAAAATTATTTCTCGAATTTTAAACTATACCATTTAAAACCCATTTTTATTCAATATAAAAATAAAATACAATCTTCTTCAGGCTAACCGGCAATAAACGCCATTAAAATATTAAGAATACGGGCAATTAACGACGTCTAGGGTTTGACCTCGCCAAAATTATCATCGATTGTCATTATTCAGCCGTGTTTCACGTCGTTTTTTTGCGATCGCATGGTCTATTTTTAAGCTCAAGTTGTAGTTTTTTGAATGGAACTGAATTATCTGTACATTTAAAGCTTTCTTAAAATGATACAATAGCAAATTCTTTATTTTCATTAATTGGAAATATTTTACAGTATGTATACTAGTACAATTTTCAAAACTAATTGTACTAGACTATATTGTATTACATGAGGGTGCAGCCACACTATCCTAAAAACGGCGTATTGGCGTAACGGCGTAACGACCTTGAATCGATTTCCAGTAATTCTATTGGCTGAAATTTTTGACTGATGAATTTGACAGATAAAATTTCTGACAGATGAATGTTTCAGCCAATAGAATTACTGGAAATCCATTCAAGGTCATTACGCCGTTACGTCGATACGCCGTTTTTAGGATAGTGTGGCTGCACCCTGATATATACAGGGTGACTCAAAATTTTAATGGTGTATTTTTCTCCATTATTTTAAATTAAACAATCGGTATTTTATAACATAAATGGCCATAGTTTTTATTCCACCTTATGTTTTAACAAATAATTTTCATCGCCCTGTTTATACCATCTATTTTAAGCCCCGTTCTCAGAACTTCATACTGTCGCCAGACACGTTAAAAGAACCAATGAGATTTGTAGAAAATTCAAACAGCTGTCAATTTTAAATTTAAACAACTCTCATTGATTCTTTGAAGTGTCAATTAGTGTAGCCAGCGACAGAACATCGTTCTTGTAGCCTACTGTAAAGCCCCGTTCTCAGAACTGCGACTGTCGCCAGCGACACGACAAAAGAACCAATCAGATTTGTACAAAATTCAAACAGCTGTCAATTTTAAATTTAGTACAGCTCCCATTGGTTGTTTGAAATGTCAAACTGTGTCGCCCGCGACACGACGTTGTTCTGAGAACGGGGCTTTAAGCCCCGTTCTCAGAACTGCGACTGTCGCCAGCGACACGACAAAAGAACCAATCAGATTTGTACAAAATTCAAACAGCTGTCAATTTTAAATTTAGTACAGCTCCCATTGGTCGTTTGAAGTGTCAATCAGTGTCGCTGTCGACATGACGCAGTTCTGAGAACGGGGCTTTCATATGATCAGTTTAATATCGCCAATTTTGAGAAAGCATAATATGTACAGGGTGGCGCTTCTCATACGACGCGGAGGCGTTTATATTGAAATCAAATTTTGGACGCATATGTAGGTTAATTGAAAGCATTTTATAAAAATATATGGAATTCTAAAGGGTGTCCACAAATAAAGTTACATATGAAAGTTTTGTTTTTTTAATGGAATACCCTATATGTATATTAATAGGTTTTCGGATTCTAGGAGAAAAATAAAGGTGAGTTTCATTAGAGAAGTATATGACTGAAATGTAAGTTCAGTTCATGTAAGTAAGTAAATGTTTTGACATATTTAACTTTTTCTAAAAATGAAGAACCATTTTAAATTTCAATAAAAGCTACCATTTCGAATTTACCTGGTATATCCTAATAGGTAGTTGCCTATAAACAAATAACTACTTATTGTAAAAAATTAAAATATGTGGTAAGATGAAAGGAAGTGAAAGGATCTATGACAGTGACAGTTATGACTGCCATTTATTTCACACTGCCATTTTTTCTATGTTGTCTGTCAAAATGTTTCCTGACTCGTTGGACAGACTTTAGATTATGTTAGATTAGAAAATAGTCAAAATAAGTAGGGCATGTGAAAAAAGCTATGGATGTATAAGATCACCAAATTCAATTTCTGTCATGAATAAATACAGATACCTAATTCAAGTTCTATTGAATATCAAGAAATATTAGTATCTAACCATTTTATATTATTTTAAAATGAAAACTAATATAGAAATATATTTTATATAATAATAGCTCCCGTATAATAGCGTTTAACGCCTTGGGGGTAGTAAGGTACATTTTGCCATGCTAGAGCTGTTCGGTATACAAGGAAGGTTCTAGTACTACTAATATTTTATTATATTAAAAATAGTTGGCTGATAAACTGCCGGTTGTAGGATTCGAACCCACAACCTTTAGATTGGTAGACGAGAGCTGTATCTCTAGGCCACCAGGCACCGATTAGAAATATATTTTCAAGATAATAAATAATTAAGTAATTTACCTGATCTCTCAGAAAATGGGAAAAACTTAGCCAGAAACAATAGAATTTTTCCACAAAATACTGTAGCAGTTGTACGTGACAATCTTCTTAACAAATCATTACACAAACGTAGTAAATTATTTTTACAACCAGTAAAAAATAGCTCTTCTTTCCATACATGAACATTGTCTTCAATAAAACCAAACATACCCTGACAAGTATCTAATGTTAGTGTATCAAAAATATCACCAAGCAGTATAACTGGTATAGTAGGAGTGCTTAAGAATTTCCTACACGACTCAATAGAAAATTCAACAAATGATTTAAGAATTAAGACATCAACCTCCTCTGCTAACAAATCAAGCAAAATGTCTCTAAAAGCTTGATCTAATGGAGTTTTTAAATCAAGCTCGGTCCTTTTATACTGTGATATTTTATTTTCCAACAAACTTATATTATTTTCCTTGAAAGCTTTTTTCAAAACTTCCTGAAATAAAAAAAAAATATATATTATTGTATACTTATACAGATAGAATGATACTCATTTTATTATTTTTATTTCACTTGTTATAATAACATTAATGAATTTAAAAACTTACCTTAAGTTCCGAACGCAAGATATTAAAGTTAGGACTGCTCTTTGAAGCGGACATGTTGATTATTTAGTATCAATATTACTTTAGAGATTTAAACAAACTTAGAATTTTCTAAATTTGTAAATAAATTATGAAAAACTATTTTAAAAACATGATTTATGGAACTTTAACCGACCAAGCCTTAATAGTACACTTCGCATTATTTTAGTGCCTTCGTTAGAATCAGGATTATGGCGTTTTTAGATAAATTCTTTAATTGTAGTCTTTATTTAATGGATTACTTTCATTATTTCTTTAATTTTAGTTCTCAAAATTTTTAAATTTCTCAGGGTGCAGCCACACTATCCTAAAAACAGCGTATCGGCGTAACGGTAGAGGTGGGTTGTGAAATCGCAGTCCGCTACTTTGTCACAGCTCCACCAACGTCGCAGTATGTGACTGCTCCAGTTCCAAGAAAATCGCAGTGACATTTCGGAGCAGTTTACAAGTTTAGGACATCTGCGCTCGTGAGTAGCAATAGGAGCAATAGCAGGCAATAGTGTAAATTCTGAAAATGCTCCTAGCCCCTGTCGCCCGGTCAGACTGTCCAGTCACAGTCGTCGCAGGTCGCAGTCGACTGGAGCATAGTATATTGAGTATATTCTGTGTACTGGAGCTGTTGGGAGTTTGGGAACGGGAAACGTAGCAGCGTTCGCTTTTTCTTTCATGAATCTAAATAAGATATTTATGTATTATATATTAATCACAAACAGATGTTTTTGACAAAGGTAATTTTTAACTTGTTAGTATGTTTATTTGTTAGTTAATTTTGTATCTGTGTTTTGTTGTATATCCTAAATCTTTTATTTGATCTTATACATTCATATAAGTTTTATTATTTATATCTATTTTTAAGGTCTGATGATGGCTAAATAGCCGAAACCGGTCACTAATAAAGATTTTTTTGACAGTTTCGACTTTGAATTGAATATAACATTAAGTTTTTACCATGGGCCACCACTCTGTGAAAATGAACAGACTCTTTAAGATATTTATAGCAAAGTGCTTGGTACTTAGAAACACTCAAATTCTTCTGAATAGACTAAAAAAATATAGCAACATCTATCAAACTAAGACATCAGTATAGTACCGTACAGCCGCGATTTTAAGAGCTCTAGGGGCCCGTAGTTCGGAAAAGTTCGAATCTTGTTCGCAAGGGCCCGGGAGGCTTGGGGCCCGTCGGTGACTTACCCCGATTGCACAGACGTTAAAATCGCCACTACTGATCGAAATAAAAAACGGCGTCCAGTTGGCTTGGAAATGACAATCGATAACATTCCCCATAAATTTTACATATAAAATGCCAGCAATCTTCATTTCATAGCTATCGCTGACGCCGTTTTTTCGATCATACGATATAAATAAATAAAAACTAGACGATGATGTTGCCTATCATAATCACACCTATAGTCCTGTACTTTTTTAGTAAATGCAACGCACGGTGCCGAACACCGAGTGCGATTTTTCGGAGCAATTAACCTATAAAACTACATTTTTAATTTATAGGTTAATTGCTCCGAAAAATCGCTGCTACTTGTCACAGTGCTTTTATTGGAGCAGTCGCAGAGCGTAGCAGCTCCACAAAAATCGCAGACTGGCCCACCTCTACGTAACGGCGTAATGACCTTGAATAGATTTCCAGTAATTCTATTGGCTGAAACATTCATCTGTCAGAAATTTTATCTGTCAAATTCATCTGTCAAAAATTTCAGCCAATAGAATTACTGGAAATCGATTCAAGGTCGTTACGCCGTTACGCCGATACGCCGTTTTTAGGATAGTGTGGCTGCACCCTCAAATGAATGTCTATTTAGGTTAGGTTAGCCCGGTTGGCCCATAGAAAAATAAATATGAAGTGGAAAAAAGGGTTGGCGGGTTGATTTAAGAAATGAATCTATGGGTTGGCAGTCTTCTTAATCTATGGGTTGTCCAGTCCACAGGCCAGGGTTGTCACTGTTGCCAGATATCAGCAGATATGGTCAAAATCTTCCCTAACTCGTTGTACAGAGATAATAAATTGAAGGGGTTTTAAATTTATACATTGTGCACGTTCAGGGAACACAGCGGCCAACCGACCGCTGAGTATTCTGCTCAGCAGCTGACTGTTTTTGTGTGTAAAATTAGACCGTTTAAAAATATGATCTATAACTAGAACCTGTGCCTGTAATCTATGGAGTGATCCGACAACTGACAAGCGACAACAACAGATGAACAACAGTTCACAGCTGTTTGAGCTGTTATTCGAGACTTCCAGACTGTTTAAATTCATTGTTTATTTATACCTCTGTTTAGACATAATATCCTTAATATAAAATAAGAAATATGTTTGAACGGTGACGATATAACTATACCTTTCGTGTCTTAGTTATACCTTGCTTCGTAATTTGCCTTTTTAATAAATATGACTGTGAACTTCAGTAATTATAGCTTAGCACAATGGTTTGCAGACCAAGAACAACTCAGGTGCGGCTATTGCAAGAATTCTTCAGGGAGTATTTCTTATGGTAAGATTATCTAAAATTCGATATAATAAGCACTAGTTATATAGAAGATTACAGGCATGATGACTGAACAGTTGACAGTAGAAGATTATAAAGATTTGATTGATCGAGGATGGAGACGATCAGGAAAATATTGCTATAAACCTACAATGAATAAAACATGTTGTCCACAGTATACTATTAGGTAAGGCGGAATATCTAAAGGATATACTCTAATTCAAATACTTTATTAAGTATTTAAAGAGAATTATCATTAAAAATTATTTGTAAGTACCTAGTGGTGGAAAAATATTTGTACGTAATAATTTGGAGTGGCCAAAAAATTATTAAGCTGCATTAACAGGTATTTGTCAATCAGTCTAATTTATCAGTATTTGAAAACAGCCCGGCCTTCGGACCCGCCTTTGAGGCCGGGCCTTGCAACCCAGCCTTTCACCCAAAATACCAGATTTTGTGAAAGGCAAAGTCCGCGGATCCCGCCTGGCTTGCGATCTTGTAAGATTTCTAAAAGTTCTAATCACTCATAATAGATTATACATAAAAAAAATAAAAATAAAATATACAAGGTACTGCAAAAAGTTAAATACAAAAATTATAGGGTTTTTAAATGTCTATTGGCGAGTAATAAATTTATGTATACAGGGTCGGTCATAAAGTTGTGGAACCTCAAAAGTTTAATTTTTTTAAATGGAACCCCCTGTATATTATTGCATATTTCGGTTGTTCCTTCAATTCTAAGCAAAAGTCAATATACACACAATGTACCTCAAACCAACTGTTTCCGAGTTATTGACTTTTGAACATATCATTTAAACAACTTGATTTAATTCATTTCGATATGTTCAGGTTCATTCAATGATGCCGTTCTGCCGCAACTGTGAAGCTGTAGTAATGGGTTTTTAAATGCCTATTAACTAATAATAAATTTAAGTATACAAGGTCGGTCGTAAAGTTGTGGCACATAAAACTTTATATTTTTTAAATGAAACCCCCTGTATATTATTGCATATTTTAATTTTTCAGCAATAATCAATTTAAGCAATATCAATTTTAAGCAATAATCGTAATACACAATGTACAGGGACATCATTTTAAGTGTCTCACTCGATTTATAATTTTCCTGTTTTGTATTTAAAAATAGAAAGATTTTCTAATGTAATTTTTCGCGAGGATGCCGATTCTATACATCACAATTTTTTAAAATGTCAATTTTGACAGATACGACGCCATCTTGATTTTTTTTAAATGGAAACCCGCACATATTTTAGCATGGTCCAGTAGACATATTTTAGCTAACTTCAAAAATATATACTTTGCAGGTACTGTTTTCGATATACATTGGATTTAAAAATAGATTGTTTCAGAATCATTTTAAGTGTCTCACCCAATTTAAAATTTTCCTCTTTTCTATTTTAAGATAGTAAAACGATATTTTCATGTAATTTTTCGCGAGGATGCCGATTTTCTACATTAAAATTTTTAAAACGTCAATTTTGACAGATACGACGCCATCTTGATTTTTTTTTAAATGGAAACCCGCACATATTTTAGCATGGTCCGGGAGACATATTTTAGCTAATTTTAAAAATATATAGTTTAGTATACTTTGCATTTACTGTTTTCGATATACAGTGGATTTAAAAATGAATTGTTCCAGAATCATTTTAAGTATCCCACCCAATTTAAAATTTTCCTCTTTTCTATTTTAAGATAGTAAAAAGATATTTTCATGTAATTTTTCGCGAGGACGCCGATTTTCTGCATTAAAATTTTTTAAAACGTCAATTTTGACAGATACGACACCATCTTGATTTTTTTTTAAATGGGAACCCGTCGTATCGGTCAAAATTGACGTTTTAAAAAATTTTAATGTAGAAAGTCGACACCCTCGCGAAAAATTACATTAAAATATCTTTTTACTATCTTAGAATAGAAAAGAGAAAAATTTTAAATTGGGTGAGACACTTAAAATGATTCTGGAACAATTCATTTTTAAATCCACTGTATATCGAAAACAAGTACATCAAAGTACACTAAACTATATATTTTTGAAATTAGCTAAAATATGTCTACCAGACCATGCTAAAATATGTGCGGGTTTCCATTAAAAAAAAATCAAGATGGCGTCGTATCTGTCAAAATTGACGTTTTAAAAAATTTTAATGTAGAAAGTCGACACCCTCGCGAAAAATTACATTAAAATATCTTTTTATTATTTTAAAATAGAAAAGAGGAAAATTTTAAATTGGGTGAGACACTTAAAATGATTCTGGAACAATTCATTCTTAAATCCACTGTATATCGAAAACGGTAAGTGCAAAGTATGCTAAACTATATATTTTTGAAATTAGCAAAAATATGTCTACCGGACCATGCTAAAATATGTGCGGGTTTCCATTTAAAAAAAATCAAGATGGCATCGTAACTGTCAAGATTGACGTTTTAAAAAAAATTGATGTAGAGAATCGGCATCCTAGCGAAAAATTATATTAGAAAATCTTTCTACTATTTTTAAATACGAAACTGGAAAATTATAAATCGAGTGAGACACTAAAAATGATGTCCCTGTACGGGTGGCCAACCAAGAATGGACGCCGGCTGTATCTCAGAAACTACTTATCGTATAAATTTGGGGAAAAAATTCTAATAAGTAAATCGACCAAGAGAAATCGCTGGAAATTATTTTCAAGTTCGAAAAATGTCCGCTAGGGGGCGTTTCTCCAATTAGAAAACAGGGTTTTTCTCAAAAATATGCAGGTGAACAGGTATTTTAAATATTATTATTGTAATCATCGAGAAATTTGTAATTTTTTTGATTCAGAGTATTTTGCTCTATCTCATAAAATAAAGTGGTGGGGGAAGGTTAAACTTGCTTTTATTAAAATAAGGATAACTCTGGTTTAGGTTAGCCGATTTAAACAAACTAGGGCTCGTTTAAAAGAGCTTTTCTTCCTTAATGATCTCCAGCATAAATTTTGTTTCCAGAATTTTTTTAGTAGATAGAGACGCTGGAGCGGCATATTTCCATGGCCAGCTAGTTCATCGGTTTCAATATGCCTGGGTTTTAATTTATGCGGTCAAATGAAGAACGAATATGGATAAATAACAATTATATATATTTATTCGTGTCAGAAGCATCATCAAGATTACATTTCATATACATATAATATCACATACAACAACAATAACAACAATAATTACATATAATAATAATAATAATAATAATAATAATAAGGACCAGGTCATAGCTACGAGGAACTACAGAAAATTCATCCTAAAAGAGCCGAATGTAGTAGATCAATGCCGAAGATGTCATGAACCTGGTGAAACTATCCAGCACGTGACAGCTGGATGTCGAGTGCTAGCACCAACCTCCTACCTCCAAAGACACGACCAAGTAGCGAAAATCATTCATCAAAAGTTAGCAACCCTTTGTCATTTAAAAGAAGATATTACACCTTATTACAGATATGAACCTGAAAATGTGTTAGAAAATGCCCACTTTAAACTCTACTGGAACAGAAGTATACTTACTGACAAAATAACTCCGCATAACCGACCAGATCTAACATTCACCATAAAAGAGAGGGCATTAACTTACCTTATAGATGTCGGGATTCCTAACACCCATAATCTGCAGTCTACATGGAGTGAGAAGTTAAGTAAATATACCGCACTAGCTGAACAAGTTAAAAGTTTATGGAAGCAAAACGAAGTGAATATCGTACCCATTATAATTTCATCAACGGGCGTAATACCAAAGGCCCTCCACCATAGTTTAAAAAAGTTAGATCTTCCACCGTTACTCTATATACAACTCCAGAAGGCTGTCGTTCTTCAAACAGCAGCAATAGTAAGACGACACCTCAATCTTTAACAAACCAATAGAGTGTTAGAAACTTGCATCACCGCCGTTTCTTACATATTATACCGTACAAAAATACGTGCGCAAACGAATAATAATAATAAGTAAAATTGCAAACATAAAAGTTATACATGAAACCACAGTACATTAAAACATAGATATAAAACAAACATAGCATGTATAAACATCATTTGAGACGGGAAACTAAACATGTTTTGCCCAGAAGCGGGCGACAATAACAATAAAACAATAATAACAATTAAATGATATTAAAATAAAACTAAAATATATGTTTTGATATTTTGACGTCACCAATTTACCTCTTTGTTTCCTAGCCTACTACTATAATTTTTAGACCTTATAATCCTAGGCGACAGCTTAATATGATTTATTTTCTGAGTTGCGGTTTGCGCTAATATTTTGGAAATTTTGTGCTCTATTTAACTGTGAAAAAAGAAATATAGCCTCCTATTTAAATTTTTGATGCAAAAGCGCAATATCTGTTATGATGTCAAACAGCGCCCTCTAGCTACCACGAAAAAAATTCTGGAAACAAAATTTATACTGGAGATCATTAAGGAAGAAAAGCTCTTTTAAACAAGCCCTAGTTTGTTTAAATCGGCTAACCTAAACCAGAGTTACCCTTATTTTAATAAAAGCAAGTTTAACCTTCCCCCACCACTTTATTTTGTGAGATAGAGCAAAATACTCTGTATCAAAAAAATTACAAATTTCTCGATGATTACAATAGTAATATTTAAAATACCTGTTCACCTGCATATTTTTGAGAAAAACCCTGTTTTCTGATTGGCTATCAGAGAAACGCCCCCTAGCGGACATTTTTCGAACTTGAGAATAATTTCCAGCGATTTCTCTTGGTCGATTTACTTATTAGAATTTTTTCCCAAAGTTATATGATGAGTAGTTTCTGAGATACAGCCGGCGTCCATTCTTAGTTGGCCACCCGGCACATAAATTGAAGAATTGAAATATTAAACGAATATTTTGTAATTTCCGGACTTGATAACATCTCATTTTATACATCTATAAACGCTAACTTGAAAACTAATGTCAAATATTATTATGTGTCACAGTTTCGGCAGAATGCCATCGTTAAATAAAACTGAACATATCGAAATTAATTAAATCAAATTATGATATTGTCATTATCAAAAGTGATATTTTCAAAAGTCAATAACTCAGAAACGGTTGGTTTGAGGTACATTGTGTGTATCTCGATTTTTGCTTAGAATTGAAGGAGGAACCGAAATATGCAATAATATACAGGGGGTTCCATTTAAAAAAAATGAAATTTTGAGGTGCTATGACTTTATGAACGACCCTGTATACTTAAATTTATTACTCGCTAATAGATATTTAAAAATCCTATAACTTTTGTATTTAACTTTTTGTAGTACCTCCTATTACTCTGAGAGCTAGCAACATTTTCGAGAAAGTATTTTAAGACGTCTGGCTCTTTGATATATCTTTAACTATATTCTCTGGAACAGCATGCGGCCCGTCTGGCTGCCGATACCCGTTGCATTCACTACTGCGCATCGGAAGAAGATCCTTTATTTTTTATTAATTTAGTCCTATAAGTTGTAGTATTGAATATAAATCGAACGTGTCTCCATAGCGCAGTGCATAGAGTTTCTGACCACGAACCGATGATTCATAGTTCGAATCCGGGTCAGGGCAAAGACTTTTTGTTTTATTTTCGTTTATATTCTGATAGTAAAGTATTAAATAATTCTGGTGATTAAAAAAAAAATATTTAATATTTTACTATCAAAATATAAACGAAAATAAAATAAAAAAGTCTTTGCCCTGACCCGGATTCGAACTCTGAATCATCGGTTTGTGGTCGGAAACTCTACGCACTGCGCTATGGAGGCATGTTTGATTTATATTCAATACTAGAATTTAAAGGACTAATAAAAATATAGGATCTTCTTTCAATAGGTAGGGAACGCAAAGTTTACCGGCAGCCAGACGGGCCGCATGCTGTTCTAGAGAGCATAGTAAAAGATATATCAAAGAGCCAGACGTCTTAAAATACTTGTTTTTCCGACGTTGCTAGCTCTCGTACTATATATTTTACCTTCGGAGTCGTAGTGTTGCCGGGTAACGCATTTCGTGTCAGGTAAAAGTATTATTCGGTAATCCCGAAACATCGAGTTGTATTCAAAAGATTATACAACGAAATAAAGTACATATATCCTTCTTATCTTAAACATTTTTATTATAAAAATTGCCATTTTGTAATAAGAATTGACGGGATATTTTGTGGAACTGACAGAAATGACTTCTGAACATCTTCTGAATTAATAGGCGCGTTTAGGGAACACAGCCGCTGACATTCAGCGTAGAATTCGCTGACCAGCAGCTTACGATATTCCCTAAACGACACAAAGCAGCAGAAAGAACAAGAAACAGTAGCTGTGTCATACGCTCTCTGTCTACTATAAAAATTTGACAGAAATTAAATAAATCGTCTGCGTCAAATCGGTCTATAATCGATCTCTAGTCTTTAGAATAAAAATTATTTTGAAAAAAGAATTATTATTACTGGCTGATCATTTAATAATTGAAAATATATTATTTGACAATACAGTATTAAACATTAAATTTCTAAAAAATAACAGTTTATAAAAATAATTTTACTTATACACCTAAACAAAACAACTTAAAATAACAGGAACTGGCAGTTCAAGTCACCTTTTACACATTTTGTTTCGATGGCATGGTACAAATAAAATTACTGACGGTGTAAATACCCTACAATATAAAAAACGACGTCAGGGGTGATGTGGAGGTGAAGATTGCTGTTACTTTATATGTAAACTTATATAGGGAATATTATCGATCGTTATTTATAATTCCCGCAGGCATTTTTTTTCGATCAGACGGTATTATAATTACAATCAAAAGTTATTTATGCTGATTTAGATTTTTTCAAAAAGTAGTATTTTTTCTTAAATTTATTGTATTTAGAAAATTCAACATGAGATGGAAATCAAGTTGAATTTTCTTTATTTCTTTAACTTCTTCGATCTTTATTTACAAGTGTTTTTCGAACGTTTTAGATTAACCTGCCGCTTTGTAACTTTTTTGGCAACAAATATCTCCTATTTTTTAAAGATTCGATTAACTACGATTGAACTTCAATAAACCATAAAAAGTAAACTATAAACTGAGAAAATTAAAGTTATTTTACATTAGTTGACCACAGATAAGGAAATAGATTAAGGCTGACTTGTCTCAGCCTAAATATTTACCGCTGAGAATTTTGCACAGCGGCTGACTTGCTGTTCGTCAGAATAGACCGTTTAGGGAAATCGCTTACTCAGCCACTCAGCCGCTGACTTTCAAAAAATGACAATTACAATATGGCAACCAAGTGATAATCACTTAAACGATTATCACTTATTAATCACATCCTTATATATAGGAAAAATATACATAGAGTAATATATAATCAATCAAACTTTTACGACCTTTATTGTCACGTTCTCATTCAAAATAGTTTGAAAAAACAGGGAAGCTACAAGCTCCTTGCTTCAACAGTTTAAATGCTTCGGCATATTTTCAACACACAATTTCAAGAAATGCAATACAAAAACTCGACAATTTAGTTCTTAAAAGAACTGTTTGTGCTTAAAAGAGCAATTTTCAAAAAAAGACAATGAAAATAGGCAAAAAACGAGAATTACTCACAAAGATTCAACAACAACACGATATTATACAAAATAATGACTGACACTAGGATAATTATGAAATAACAACATTGGTGAACACGACGCAATGTGACCAACATAGCGATAATAAAATTCGATTTAAACTAATTTTTGCAGCTTTAATCTAAATAAAATATCTGTTACAATCATTTGCTCTATAAAGTAAAATAAAGAGCTGCTCGATATCTTAAATTATACAACAAATTTAAACATTTTTGCCAACATTTCATTTATATAGTCAGGTTTATAGACATTAGTGTCAATGTCGATATGATTGATGACGTGCATTGGAAAATGTTTTTATTATGATTACACACGATGTGTTGCAGATGTTAAACAGTCGCAGCGATTTAAAAATCGCAATCGCAGTGTCAATTGCGATTGGCGAATCGCAGTTTTGCTCATCTCTATTTTAAAGTGTAGTATAACTGATTATGGCATTTTCTCATAAGAAATATTAATATTTATGTTGCCTATTTTTAGGTGTAATGCACTAGATTTCAGTTTAAATAAGTCTCATAAAAAGATTATTAAAAAGTTTAACAAGTTCTTAAATGATGGAATTTATAATAAAAATGATTCATTGAACCAACAGGATGAAACTGAAGAAATAGGAATGACTGAACTCCAAGGTAATATTTGTATTTTTTAAATAAAGATGATTATTTTTAAAGTTAAATTTTTATGTAGGTTTCAATAAGCCTTGTAGTATAAATGTAAGCCAATTAATACAAGAAAATAATATTGCATCTGAAACAGCTGTTCAAATTGGTGCTAGTGAAAAAGAACCTGATAAATATTTTCCGACAGAAGATGATAGGATGTCTCCAGCCGGCCAATCAAAATCAGATACTAAAGGTAAATTCATTGTAGAATATTGTTGCGTAACTTGAAATTTATAAATTTTATCATTTAGAAGACATGGGTAACACTTCAGAAATTATTAAACTCGAGAAGTCTTTTAAGCTGGGATCTGGGGCAGATCCTAATAAACCTCCCTGTAAAAAAGCTAAGTTGTTAAGATTAGAAAAAAAGAGGGAGAAAATGTTACAGCAAGATAAAAATTATGAAGTTACTAATTCTGTTAGTACACAAAAGTCCCTAACTGATTTTTTAAACGATATCTCCTCTACCTCACAACATAAATTAAAGGTGAGCATATATCGTTATACAATATTAATTCGTTATTTCCAAAGGGTGGTTCAATAGTATGGAACGCCGGTTATAACTCGGGAACCGTCAATGAAAGGGCTTAAGGAAAAACGTATTTATAAAAAAAAGTAAATTACATACTTTTTTGTCAAAAATAAAGTGGCGAGGAAAGGATTAAACATTTTTACAATCAAATGTAGATAGTATCTCTGTTTGGGTTGGAGTTTAGATCTTATAAACTTCGTGGATAAGTAAATTCGCTTCATTTTTGTTGAAGACACGTCAGCGACATTCGGCTATCTGATTACCTTTGTCTTTGACATTGACTGACCAATAGTTCTGTCTTTCTTTTGTGTATATGTCATTTTTATGTCATAAAATAGAAAATATAAATATATAAAAAATAATATACACTCACCAGCAAAAAAACCGGCCAATAAAAACTAGTCCCAATTTCAAAATTAGATTTCTCGCGAACCACTTATTAGATTTTGATGATTTTTTTTTAAATTGTAAATTAATTCCTTCTTAACGGATGCTACGTCAGCAATTTTTATTCCGAATTTATTTAGAGCATATACAGGGCACAACAATAAGACGAAGTTTTTTGCTCAAACTTTGTAACATCCTGTAGGGTGCAGCAGCTGTAGTAGCTATTGCTAAATCAAATCACATTGTAGCCTCATCTTTTTTGAGCATTTTGTTTTTTTAATCATTAACATTATCTCTGTATTGTATAGATACGCTGCTTTAAAACAAACGCTTTGAAAAAAGCTTTAAAATCAAATCAAACATCAGAACGTAGACGTAAACTAACTAAAACAAGAAAATTAAAAAACAGCTAAAGAAATTTTAAAGGACTAATATCTAGTGTCCACTCGCCTGGTGAAATCTCCCGTTTCCATATACCGATTCCAGGCATCCTGGACTGCTGTTCGAAAGATACCCAGGGTATCGGAGACATAACGTTGACTTCTGCCATCCCCAATTAAAGCCACAATACGAGCAACATCTGTTACAGATAATAGCATTTTTTAATTTGACAACCGTTTTTCTCATATTGCAAATACTCATAAATCCGTTTTCGCCTATGTCGCTTTGATTATTTACACATAAAACTTTCTGCCTTTTCGGAAATGAATTCTGAATTTTTCCGAGGCGTTCGTTTTAAAACAGCATATCTCCAATACAAAAAGAGATAATATGGTGATTAAAAAACCAAAACGCTCACAAAAGTTGAGGCTACAATTCGCTAAGGGATGGTTTTCCAAAGTAAAATTGATAATTGAGTTTTTTCATGAAAATAATATAAAATTATTAAGTTGATTACTTAGAACGAGAAAATTAATATGAACATTAAGATAAACACAAATGAACGCAAACGAAGAAAATCATTGGTAACTTAAAATTCACATCAAATGACATTCTTCTTCTTCTTCTTACAGTGCCATACTTCCGAACGGCACTATTTGAGAGGCTGTACAAGGCAAGGTGGTTTGCCATTGCCTTCCTTGAGGTGGCGCACAGTGTAACGAAAACTAAAATAGTGGGACGTTGGCATTTTTCTTCAGTTATCACTATTCTCGCTGAAATTTTTTATAATACGACTAGGAATTTTTGCTACAGGGCGAAACGAGAAAAAAATGGCGTAATAGAAGGTCAAAAAAAATACGAAGTTTTATAAAAGGACTTTACAGGTATATTTTTTTATTTACGAAGAGTTTATAGCTCTTATGGACCAAAAACGTTATCAAATTACTGTTGAGCAATCATTTATCTCCCGCTAATAGGCCAAAACTCAATCAACATTCCTAAATATTCAAATAATCAGGGATAAATTAGATAAGACTGCAAAACTCAAAGAGAACGACACAAGTGGCAAATATCTTTAAACAGTATTAAATAATATGATAATATAGGAAAAAAACTTATTCATCTTCAACAAACGAAACCATAATACACACCTCACAAAAAATTTCGCAACACTTATATTTTTCGTAGTTTTTATTCTTGAAACGCTTCAAACATTTTTATGTGAAAAACTTAAATCTAAGGTCTGCCTGAGTTATGATATACTTTCCATTCCTTAACAAGTTGCTATTAATGCAAATAACTTTTGAGATTATTGTTAACCAAGAGAATACTTTGCAGTTTTCCAAATTAATAAGTGATACGATAATTTATGTGGGGTGTATATTATTCCAAAATAACATAATATGTAAGGCACTTACATAAAACATGCTTAAAAATCATTCTCAATTTCTTCTCCATCCATATTTTTTTTTTCTTTACAGTAAGGGGCCGTCCTCTGCCGGAAACACTGCGACCTGTGAGGCCTATTGTGTTTGTCCCCTTTCTATATCTGCACCCGTTCTCCTATCCCTGTGCCCTGCACTAACTTATGCAGGTCCTTGATAGGATGGGAGCATAGTTCCTCCGGTTCTAGCCTAGCTTTCCCAAATAAAAAGTGTCGCTTGCGATCCAGAGCCTCGCAGTGACATATTATGTGCTCCGCTGTTTCAAGATCTTTATCGCAGAGTCTGCAGCAAAGACTTCCTTGATACAGATTGAGCTTGTTCAGGTAACACTTGACAGCCATATGTCCTGTCAAGAGGCCTGTTGTAATCCGCAATTTATTCCTGCTAAGCATTAGCAGTTCTTTTGCGGTTTTGGAGCTAGGTCCTTGGATAAAAGCCTTGCTGTGCCTGTGCCCCTGTCTGTTTCTCCAGTGGACATTCTGCTTTTCCCTGATCCAGAGTTTTAGTGCACTACGGGCCATACATTTGGGTATTCCCAGTACTGGCTCTGGACCAAGATAAGATGCCGATGATCCTTGCCTAGCTAGCTCATCGGCTTTTTCGTTGCCTTGATGCCGCTGTGGCCCGGCACCCAGAATAATTTAATTCTGTTCCGTCGAGCCAGAGCTTCCAGTTCACCTAGGCATTCCCAGACGAGTCTCGACGATACCTTTGGGCTCATAAGCGCCCCAAGTGCCGCCTGACTGTCTGAGCATATATTGATGAGCTTATCTGAATAAGCTCTTCTATTGTTTTCTCGCACATTGTAGAATGGCGAAGATTTCTGTCTGGAATACGGTTGAGTGTTTACCCAAGGAAAAGGATAAACTTGCCCTTGGTCTTTCCCCAAATACTCCAGCTCCTGTTCCTTCAGCGGTCTTTGACCCGTCTGTATACCAGGTTAGTCCATCCTGCAGGAATGTTATATCTGTCCACATTCCTCGATCTATTTTGTTCGCCTCGAATGGTTTGTGGTAGTGATAAAGAGGGGTCATTTGGTCCGAGCTCCATATACAAGAGCTCTTTCGCTTCCGGAAACAGGTACTTTTTTTATTTTTAGAGTGCTTTGGTCGCAGATGTGAAAGTAGAGGATCTGAATATATCAATAAGTTGTGCAATATATCTTCAATAGTTTCCTTACGACCACTCTTCCTGGAAAAATTTTGGCGGAACGATCGAAATTCTTTGTTTCTTGATTCAGATGCTTCTTCGGACATTTTGCCGATGGGTGTAAATTGAAAACGTTCACAGATATCTGCACCATGAATCAAAAGCATATGAATGCTTGAAGGCATATAATACCAACCGTAAAGGGAAACAAATAGTTCTGCTGTCTCTTTCATGTCACCAAACTATGGTCGAATCAATGGAAACCGTAATTATTGCCGAAGAAATTAATTTTTTTCTTTCAGGTTCGGATCTAGGTGGATGAAATTTATTTATAACAGTATACTAGAAGGTTCACTCTATGATATTTTGTATATATAACCTTACGCGAATGTAAGCGTTTTTTTGAAAGTCATAATAAACATGTAGAAACTAGACTTGAAAAAAAATGGGACATTTTTTTCAGGTTTGTTGTTGGTAAAAGACCTCTCTTTACGGAAAAAATTGTTGGAATTGAACAACACAAGGAAACTTCTGAAAATAATAAATTTCATTGTATGAAATTTTTGTACAGATTTAGTAAATTAAGGAAACCATAACTTTAACTCGCCATAATTCCCCGACTAAGAGGCCAACTGAAGAAATATCTCACATGGTGGAGCTCTGGGATGTCCTTTATCCATCTATATAAAAAACTTAATGAATTAAATTTTTTGTTTTTTTGGCTAATGTCCCGCATTTCCCGATTTCGTTACACTGTGTGGCGGTTTGTTGGTCCCTCTATTTAGATAAATAAATATTTTTATTTAAATAAATTAAGCGACCGTACTGGCTGGGGATGGAACTCAGTACCTTCCGCTCCGCAGATCGACACACTACCGCTGGAGCTACGACCGGCCACTCAAATGACATAAACTAACTTAACTTAATTTTAACAAAGCCTTACATTTTTGAGTTAAAAAAAATTGTTAAAGAGATAATTGAGTTAAAAATTTTGAGTCAAATGCCTATAAAACATAACAAAGTATAACAAATACATTGAACAATGTTATGCCAAATAAAAAAAATGACATTTAATCTTCCATCCATCTGCTAATAAACATTATAGGAACGCCAAAAGAGAAGAGAACTTAGAACAATAAGAAATAGGATCACTAATTACGTACAAGAGTGTGATTTCGATTTCGCACGTAACAAAAAAGATTTAGTATTACAAAAAACATGTGTCATCTCTCGTGGGGAGATTCATCACGTAAAAATAAGATTTATTTTTCATATCAACATGTTCGGTCCTCGACAAGGACAGATAGAGTAGAAGCACCGCGTGTGCAACAAAGAAAGAAGCTAAATATAAGTCGTTGATATGTTTGCGACAGTTTCCATAGTGATTTACGTATCCACGTGAGTTTATATGATCTAGGGATATACCCAATAATTTAAAGCAATTTCTCTTGGCCAATTTAACTTGAAATATTTGTTTTGATGATCGGTTTGCGAGTTACAGCCGATATCCTCTATTATTATTGACCACAAATGAAAAATAACATTTGACCAATATGTATATAGTTATTCTTTTTCTTTAGCTAAAATTAATACCAACTAGTATATGTGGATCTCAATGGGAAACAGTAAAAGACATCGAATATGAATTATATAAGAAATACCAAACAACAATACATAATGACCCACCTGGGAAATTAAGCATCAATAGTTTTACAAGATTTTTAGTTAGTTCGCCGTTGAAGGTATTGATTCTGAATGGTCAAAATGTTGAATGAAGCATGACTTTTAGGTGACAGAAAACTGATACTTGGCTAAAAATATTTGGCTGTCAACGTTAAAAGTCCTGCTATATTTACACATGAGTTTTGATCATACAATATTTATCCATAGGTATATTTTTAAATTAATAAAATGAGCAGAGCAAAAGAATAACTATAAAAAAATAAAAAGTAACTATATGATTGCATATTATTAGTCTAGTAATAATGACCTTGATAATTTTTGTAGATAGAACTCATCATGATGACAGAAAGACATTCAAGTTTTAGTAAAAGTGCGAAATTGTACATAAAATATCAGAAATTGGTTCATAATGATGAGTGCAATGAAACTGACTTTTGTGATTTTCTCGTTACAACACCACTAAAGGTATCTTTTCCTCTGCTTATACGTTTGATGACATTTTTAATTAATGATTATTCTTAAAGAAATTATCAAAACTTTAAAAACAAAGAAAATTACATGTTAAATTTTTATGCGAAAACCGATCATTTGAACCAAAACGTGGTCTATACATCGGTGTCTGCAGTGGCGTAGCTATCATAGGGCGGTTGGAACCACAGGAACTTGGGGCCCCTCAGAGCACTTCAAAAAAAATATTTAATAAAAAATATACATTATTATGGATTTTTTCTTTATTCGGGGCCCCCAAAAATATCTTGCACTGAGGCCCCCAGTTGTCAAGTTACGCCACTGGGTGTCCTGCGTCTGCCAGAGAAAATTGTAGTATTTTGTCGCGGTATTTCTTTGGAACAGTCGCTAATGCAACGCGACATATGTATGTGGAACCGGTATTACCGTCAGTAATTTCTAGTTATTTAATAAACTATTACGTGATATCGTGAGTTTGAGTATAGGCTTGGTGCATTTCAGTTTATTTTAAAAATCCCACCGCAGTGCTCGATACGGCAGAAATAGAAGTTTTCGCTCAGTATTTCACGCAGTTCCGATGTTGATCGCATTGAAATAATATTAAAATCGTGGCTTTGTCATAATATCACAGATTAGGTATCCTATAAGTATACAGATAAAAATTTTGTCCCTAATTCGTGGTACGAAAATTGTTTTTTATGACGATGTGCAAACGAGTTAAAATTCCTGTGCGCAAAAATAAACTCGCGTAAAATAACAATAAACAGCGTAATAGAGAGATATCGCTAAACCGAATAGCGTGCATGGACGTTAATAAGGCCAGGTGTTATTTCCTTTACGTGAGGTGGTATTAACTCTCTTCATTTATAGTTATCGGATCGGAAAGAATTCTGTTCGCGTCGCGTCCGCTATTTAAACTTAACCTAACTTTGAATTTAAAACTTTAAAATTGTTTTGTTTACTAGGTATTTTAAAACTAAAGGGCTAAAGTGCTTATTTCCAGTGCTTTATTGTTCAACGTCTGCCAGTGGGTTTAGGGCAACAAGCAACAAATTCTCTTAGAAGGGCTAAGTCGTCATCTGCTGTAAACATAAGCCTCTTTATAGGTTCTTTAATATTGGAAGAGGTGGATCCATATTTTGGGCCATATTTATTTAATTAAAACTAATCCCAACTACTTAAATATCAAATTACCTAATAAAACTAAAGTAATAATTCAAAACAATTCAAACGTAACCTAAAATAAAAGATCTCGCCGGCCGGCCCTGGTTGTCAAATACCCGCACATGTCCATTTAAGCAATTTTTAAACGTTATTTAGAAATAGCGCTTGGTGTAGTTGATCCGCAAATTACGTCAGGCGGAACGTTATTAGCGGGTGTTGCGTTAAAAATTGACTCGCGTATATCGTTACCATGATAAGGTACGCGTAAATACTGCATGACGCTATTCGGTTTTCCGATATCTCTCTAATAACTGTGCCGGTCAGGCGCTGTGCACAATTTTACAGGCCATAAGTGGGCGTGCTATGTGCGCAAACTAGTAATCTAACTACAGCCCGATTCCGAAAATTGGAACCTCGAAAAACAATAAAGAAAAACAAAGTTTATAATCTGTATAATCTGTGATAATATTTAAGTATTTTAGTTTTTAATAATGCAGTTATTGGAACTATAAAACACTCAGGTACGAGGTTTGTGTGATTTCCACTTAATTTTTACTACCCGTAACGCTGTTTCTGTAATAAGTGGAAAAGAACCCGAACTGCCAACTAGGCATCGCTTTGTGTTTTGACAATTTCAAATGTTAATAAAATTGTCAACAACAACGTGTGTGTTAACGCGTAAAGGAGGGCAGAATTACGTGGTTGTTGGGTGCAATAACATTCAATAACTCAACTTTCTCGGATATTCAACTCTCCCGAAACAACATTTTATATCTTCACAACTTTTCACACCTGTTTGATCAAAAACAAAAATGGATTCAAAAAGCTCGACAAAACAAGTGAATAAACAGAGTGCCCATTACATAATCAACAAATTAAATAGGCTATACTATGAGAGGATAAATTATAATTTTTTGCAATATTATTGGTATAATTGTTTTAATCAACTAGTGCTTACATTTTTTATCAACACATTCTAAAATTGTAATTATGTACCCGGTGGCCAACTAAGAATGGACGCCGGCTGTATCTCAGAAACTACTTGTCGTATAACTTTGGGGAAAAAAATTCTAATAAGTAAATCGACCAAGTAAAATCGCTGGAAATTATTTTCAAGTTCAAAAAATGTCCGCTAGGGGGCGCTTCTCTGGTAGCCAATCAGAAAACAGAGTTTTTCTCAAATTTATGCAGGTGAACAGGTATTTTAAATATTACTATTGCAATCATCGAGAAATTTGTAATTTTTTTGATACAGAGTATTTTGCTCTATCTCATAAAATAAAGTGGTGGGGGAAGGTTAAACTTGCTTTTATTAAAATAAGGGTAACTCTGGTTTAGGTTAGCCGATTTAAACAAACTAGGGCTTGTTTAAAAGAGCTTTTCTTCCTTAATGATCTCCAGTATAAATTTTGTTTCCAGAATTTTTTTCGTGGTAGCTAGAGGGCGCTGTTTGACATCATAACAGATATTGCCAGGTGTTAGTATGTGAGTATTTTGCTCTATCATAAAACAAAGTGGTGGGGGAAGGTTAAATTTGCTTTTATTAAAATAAGGATAACTCTGGTTTGGGTTACCCAATTTAAACAAACTACGGCTCGTTTAAAAGAGCATCTCTTCCTCAATGATATCCAGTATAAATTTCGTTTCCATAATTTTTTTCGTGGTAGCTAGAGGGCGCTGTTTGACATCATAACAGATATTGCGCTTTTGCATAAAAATGTAAATAGTAGGTTATGTTTCTGTTTACACAGTTAACTAGAGCACAAAATTTCCAAAATATCAGCGCAAACCGCAACTTTCTATCTTCTCTCTAACCGGAGATATTAAGAGAACAAATAATGTTAGGCTGCCGCTTAGGATTATATGGTCTAAAAATTATAGTAGTAGGCTAGGAAACAAAAAGAGGTAAATTGGTTACGTCAAAATATCAAAACGTTTAAGTTCAGTTTTCATGCATCCGAATTTCGGGCGTTTTCTTAAAAAAATGACGTCATAAATATTTAAACGTGTTATTGGTGTAAAAACAAAAAAATATACAAACGTGTAAATTGGATATAATATTGTATATTGGATTTTGATTGATAAACCATTGGATAAATAGAGATGTGCAAATTATGCATTTTACACCCCCTATTTTATGCAAATTTTGTTATATTATGGGGCTTTTATGCCCCAAAAATGGCTCATTATGCGGCTATTATGCATTAAAAAGTTACTTATTATGCGAAAAAATGCTCCAAGAAAAGTAATTTTATGTTTTTACGTAAAAAAGTGCATAAAGGTCGGTATTTTCGTTAAAGGTGTTGATAAAGGTGTTGAAAATGGTTAGTTTTTTAAAAACAGAAAAAAACACACAAGATTTCACAAAACGCAACATATTATATTTAAAGAATGTAATTTTTTGGTAACTATAAAACATCTTAACAAGATAACAAAAGTTTAATAATATTATCAAATATTAATCTCATAAAAAAGCTAAATAAAAAGCTAACTTTCAACATCATCTTCGACAACCCAATCCAAACAATCATCTCCAAAATACATACACATCATAACTTCAACGTTTTCAGGAGAAAGTCTGCAACGTCTAGGGGAGAGAATATCTCCATAGGCTGAAAAAGCTCGTTCGCTATCGACATTTGCCACCGGGATATGCAAAACTTGCATGCAGTATGTAAAAAACTCAGGATAATTTGGTCTCAATCCTAACAGTATCTTGCATACAAAATCTGTGTTATCTTTATTTGTTTTGGAGTTCTGAACTGCCTCTTTCACCTCAACATTATACCATGTAAAACTCTGAAATCAGCCGTAGGTACTTTGTGTAACAGATGAATCTTTTCCAACATCGTCACAAGTCGCCACAACAATTTTAATTGGCTCAAACAATAGTCTTCTTAAATTGCAGAAAAAAGGAAAAAATGCCACTTTATGCGATAATTATGCACTTTGTGCATTATGCTGCAAAACGACCCGATTATGCGTTATTATGCGGGGTGTATTATGTACTCAGGAAGGTTTAGTAATGACTCAGGTATCAACTTTGAACCGTTTTAAAGCCTTTTTAAAAATTATGCAATTATCCAAGTGCATAATCTGCACATCTCTATTGATAAACCAGATTCTTGGTAGTACAATACTAGTGTACTACAATAGTACAATAGTAGTGTACTAGTAGTACTACATAGTGTTTTAATTATACTTCTTTTGGTAGCTTCAGAATGGTTCGACTGAGAATTTAAATATTGTCCTGTGTGTTATTGGTTTTCTATATACAGAAGTGCTAATGGATCCATCGCTTCTACTGACAAGAACATCCAGAAACGGCAGACAGAAGTTTTTCTCTTTCTCAATCGTGAATTTGATTGAGTAATAACTCAATATCGCGAATTAAGATGATTAAGAAAGGAACTCAACTGTCTATCGCTTCCGTTGCAGATTATAAAGGTATCATCAACATATCGAAGCCAGATTTTGGGTTTGACGACCGCGGTACTAATGGCATTGGTCTTGAACCATTCCATATATATACCGACCTGGTCATTTGATTACTGTGTATAGGATTTTAACGTGTAAGACAGAGAATAATATAAATGACCGGTTGACAGACAGAGAGACAGCATCAAAAGGGGCCGGCGAGGAGCCGGTGCGACCGATAGTGTTGCCGGTTTTTACGGGTGTGGGCAAGGTAAAGCATAAGCATGGTGGGAGAACGCATTGAGAGGGGCGGTGCTTTATGTTAAGGTTCGTATTCACTATCCGAAAGAACAAAGGAATGAAATTCGGTATATTTGGACAGCAAACCGAATGCATGCGGCGGTTCGCCATTCGGT